ATTCTTCACCGAGTTCCTACTACCTTAAGGAGACATGTACCTAAGGTACAGTATCTCACCTTCAGGAGGTACTTATTTGGAAATGAGAAAAGGCGGTACTTCGGCACATGTCCTTGTCGTGGGTATCTTATCTCTCCCTCCATTGTCTGATAGGTCAGTGGTGACGGAACGAGAGACGGACGCGGCACTCGACTCGATTCCGTGGGTCGGGACCACCGTTGTAGCAGCAGCACCCCAGCGGCACCTCAGTGACAGACGCACCGACAGTGGAGGAACCTTCCAAATTCCAGTACCCCTAGGTACCTCTAGCACCCACTAAGGTGGTAGGTAGTAAAGACCCGGACCCGACAATAGCAGTTGGCGCCCAAGGAAACGCAGGTCGAGGGCACGTTCTTTCCAGGACAAGTCCTTTCCCGTCGTCTCGTCCTGCTGCCACCACAGCCTTCTGCACGTCTCTCTTCCTCGAGACGTCGCTGTCGTCCATACTTTCGTTTTCCTCCACCTTGCCGCCTTCTCCCACCTGGCCAGGAAAACAACAGGGTCCCTTTACGGCTCGATTGAACGACACGCTTCCTTTCTTGGAAGACTCGATCGAGCCCTCTCTACCCATGAAGAGGCGCTCGTCGGGTTCGACCGACGACAGCGACGAACCTCTTGTCGATGCTCCAGTTGCTCAGCAGCCCGCCCGAAGTCGCAATTCTGCACCTCTTCCCAAGCAACCCGCTGCCGTTACTGTTGCCGCTGGAGCCGCATCTAGGCCGTCATTCGCGAGGAGTAGACGGTCAAACAATCCCAATTGGAAGCTCGAACATGGCCCGAACGCGAATCCGATCCTCGACAACCACCTCATAAGTGCCTTTCCCTCGTCACCCCTCTCAGTTCCATCCCTGGCCGCGCCATCGCCAGCCTACCGAAACCACACACACCAGCTGCCGAACCACAAACTCCACCACTCCCAAAGCGTCGCCGACGAACTTCAGCCTAACCGGAACGACGACAAGTATTTCGATAGCGATCACGACGACGGTAAAGGCGACGGCGACGGCCTCCACGACGGCATTGTGGACACTCGGCGAGAAGACCAAACCACCATGACCGCTGAGAAGATGCCCGATGTGCGCTTCGCCGGTCGCCGGTCTCGATTCCGAAGCCCTTGGTCCGTTACCATATTCACGCTGATTGTCACCGTTCTTGGGATTACTCTGCTATGCGCTATATTGAACTCGTCATGGACTCGCCAGCTCGATGCCAAGGGATGCCGCATGTCGTATATGCGACCTTCCTACATTCGTCTTCGTGACTTTGATACTGAACACACCCGGTTCGCGACTAAATACTCCCTATACCTGTATCGTGAGCAGGGTGTTGACGACGAAAGAAAGGTGCGTCTTGTTTCTTGCGCCGGGGCTGCGGCAGATCGCTTACCTTTCACAGCTGAGAGGCGTTCCCGTACTCTTTATCCCAGGTAATGCCGGAAGCTACAAACAAGTTCGACCCATAGCCGCTGAAGCTGCAAACTACTACCACGAGTCTCTTCAGCACGATGAAACTGCCGTCGCGGCCGGCGCCAGGAATCTCGACTTCTTTACAGTTGACTTCAACGAGGATATCACCGCCTTTCATGGGCAGACCATGTTGGATCAGGCTGAGTACTTGAACGAAGCCATCAGGTACATCTTATCGCTCTACATGGACCCGCGCATGTCGGCTCGAGACCAGGACTTGCCAGATCCAACCTCTGTCTTGGTACTCGGTCATTCGATGGGTGGCATCGTCGCGCGCACCATGCTCATCATGCCGAACTACCAATCCAACTCGATCAACACCATCATAACCATGTCTGCGCCACACTCGCGTCCTCCTGTCACTTTCGACGGACAAATTGTCAAGATATACGATGATATCAATGACTATTGGCGTCACGCCTACTCACAGAAATGGGCCAACAACAATCCGTTGTGGCATGTTACTCTTGTCTCAATCGCTGGAGGTGGCTTAGACACTGTCGTTCCGTCCGACTACGCAAGCATCGAGCCGATAATCCCCGAGACGCACGGCTTCACTGTCTTCACCACTGGAATTCCAGGTGTTTGGACTAGTATGGATCACCAGGCCATTCTATGGTGCGACCAATTTCGGAAAGTTGTTGCTCGCGCCATGTACGACGTGGTTGATGTTCACAGGTCTTCGCAGACCAAGCCCAGGGCTGAGAGAATGCGGGTTTTCAAGAAGTACTTCCTTACTGGCATGGAGTCGATCGCCGAGCAGACTATGGCAGTTGAAGGGCCAAGCACATTGCTGACACTCGAGGACAACTCAAACGCCATCAAGGCACAGGGTGAACGCCTCGTCTTGCGACAGCTCGGCCACGACCCGAAAATCACAGCTCACCTGCTTCCAGTACCTCCCCAAGGATCTCCAGATGGAAAGCGCTTCACCCTACTGACCGACAGCGCATTGGACAAACCAGGAGAACATGGAAGGCTCGAGGTCCTGCTTTGCAGCGTTTTCCCTCTGCAGCCTGGACAGTCGACGACGCTGTTCTCAACACACATGGACCTATCAGGCGACAGCACTGGGTCTACTAGACTGGCCTGCAAGAATGCTGCGACCGACGCCATTCTGCTTCCCCCTTCGATGAGAATGCTCCACCAGCCCTTCGCCTTAGAGAATGAGCCAGTCACAAGGCCCTTCTCGTATCTTCAGTTCGATATTGAGGACATTGCGGACTACCAATTCGTGGCCGTCATAGACAAGGCGCTGAAGCCAAGTCAAAACTTTGTTGTGGCCGAATTCAGCGACCATTCGCAATCACACAGAAGGCGTAACGTCAGCCTGCGGCGAATTCTCGCGTTTGGAATGACGCTGCGGCTACCTGCGAGCCGTCCCTTGGTTGCCGAGATCAACATTCCCACCATTCAATCCAGTTTGCTGGCATACAATCTGGAGATTGGCAACCAGGCTTGCGGTTCATCCTCTGGACTGTTCTCACCTCTCATACGGCAACACCTGGCTCAGCCATACGAGTCCAAGTTTTTCGTAAACGCTAGGCATGCGAGCATCAGTCTGCATGGCGTAGCGCCGTTCGTTCCGCCCCCTCTGAGGCACAAGCTTCAAAATGAGCAGGGACTAAGCCTCCAGTTTTGGACCGATCCAACCTGCGAATCCGCAATCCAGGTTACGCTGACAGTCGACCCGTTAGGGAGCTTGGGCAAGCTGTATATGCGTTACCGGACTGTATTTGCGGCCTTCCCATTGCTTGTAGTGGCACTCGTGCTTCGTAAGCAGTTCCGGATCTACGACACGACTGGAGCCTTCATATCTTTCTCGGAAAGTTTGGATCTCTGCTTACGGCAATCACTGCCGCTGATGTTCCTTTCCTTGACATTCCTCTCCTTGTCAATGACCGGATCGTGGTCATCCGGCCCTAGCGTATTCTGGCACTGGCGCAACACCACTTCATCGGAAGCTGACTTTCACAGCAACGATCTCCTTACAGGCACTCAGGATCCCTTCTTTTGGTTTCTCATCCCCCTGATCGGAGTCGTCTGTGTAGGGGTGTGCGCCTGTCTCCACTTTGTCACACTGGTATTGACTCAAATTCTCGGCATTCTCTACACTTGGATAGCTCTTCGACCATTCGCAGTCGGGCGTGACGAGCGCCGAAGACCACAATTACCCATCTTCGTTGCGTCCTCTCCTCGACGTCGTATGATAACAACTGCCGTCCTGCTATTCCTGGTATCCACGTTTATACCTTATCAATTTGCGTACTTGGTAGCGTGTCTCGTTCAGCTGTTCACCGTTGTTCGCGCTCATCGGATTGCCTCGGAGGTCAAGTCTGGACTTACCCAAGATTTTTACCATTACGCCCACTCCATTCTGCTTCTCATGCTCTGGGTTCTTCCGATCAACCTACCTATTCTGGCAGTGTGGATTCGCAACCTTGCTGTCCACTGGCTCACACCCTTCTCTTCGCATCATAACGTGCTATCAATTATGCCGTTCATATTACTCGTGGAGAACTTGACCACCGGCAGGATGGTCCCTAGAGTCACGGGCAGGATGAGATATCTCACAAGTGTGCTACTTTTTGGCACAGCCATCTACGCTGCTGTTTATGGTGTTTCCTACGCCTACATGCTGCACTATCTCGTCAATTTGATAGCTGCCTGGCTGGTTGTTATTCATTCGACTACGGACAACTGGCCGCTCGCTGGGTTTAGTTCAATATTTGACAGCCATCAAGAAGACCGTAAACGTGGCAAAACTCCATGAGGACGAGCCTGACACTTGATTTCCTTCACTTGGTGGAATATTACTGTTCGCGTTGGCTCTATTCGAGGACTTGGTCTGCGAGAACAGTAACACCCATTCGCTCTAATCGCTCCGCGCTGTACATACTACAGTCCAAGTTGGCTCGTCGACGAACGACGTTCAGCTCATACGGGAGTCTTCTTTTTTCTTCATAATAGATGGTTTCGGATTTTCCCATCTAGAGCTTGACAGACACTGTCTCGGTAGTAAGCTGACACCGGTCTTTTGTGACAATGGTGTCGCTACAGTATTCCGTGTTTTCATCACTGTTTGTCCATCTGCATCTTGCATCGGCTGGGAGTTTAGTACGATTCACACGTTTTTGGTTAGAGGAGTCGGGACGAACATGTTTATTCCAAAGGACCGGGCTATGAGGTGTCGGGAGGTATCCTTGGCTTTTCTTCCTCTACCTATTCTCGGCCCGAGCACCATTGCGTTACAACCTGCGTCCGCCAAAATGGTGATTCGATGAGGTGGGACAACAACTCCTCAATAGGGGACGGGGTGGTGCTTCGCTTCAAACGATATTGTGTAATGTCGCGACGGGGGTTTTCTTTAGTTTGACGTTGGGACACCGTGTCTCGTTTTTAATACGTTGGCGGATGAAGTTCTCTTGGGTCTCCCCGTGTAGAGGGGTAGTGCCCAGTAAGGGGCTCCTCGTTAGTCAGAAAGGAGTGTGGATGAGGCGCTCGTCGCAAAAGACGACCGTGGTATAGTGCCCACCAGCAATGATGGAAGCTCTCAAAACTGAATTCGGAATTTCACCGATCCTGTATTACTTGGTCCTGTGAATGAAGTTGTGAATACAATAGGGATAAAGATGAATTACAATTTCCATTTGATCTCCGCTGTGGTACCGAGTGTCGATACTCGTGAACCAGAAAAAAAATGTAGCTACCCAAAACGCCTTTCCTCTATGAGTTATCTACGGCCGTTTGACGTTAAATCTATGTTGAAGCTATGACAGCCAGCCGTGTTCGCAGAGACGACTTTGTGTCAAGAATTGTGAGGGATAGTTATGGACTTCTCTCATCCCCCGCCTACACCTTTGGATTTACCCTGAGCAAAGTGTCTCTCAGTCATCCTGCTCCGCCTTCATCTTCTCTTCTTTTGCCCACTTCACTCGCTGGTGACGGATGACCCACAAAGTGAGCACCAGCCCGATTGAGCACGCACCCAGTGTCATCAGATACGCTGCACGATAGCAGTCCAGCCCGTCGTGGCAGACGCGCTCGCCATCCGGGCCAACGACACTATGCCTGTCGTAGATTCTGCCGTAGAAAATGTTGAACACGTTACCAGACACGACGGGCGAGAGCGTCATAAGCCCCCAGTTCTGGCTCAGGCCGTGAATACCAAAGGTTTCGGCCACGATGGAAGGAAAGACTCCGAAGAGGAAGCCGTAGGCGATACCAGACAAGCCCGAGACCAATCCGAGCATGTGAGGGTTTGTGACGTGGAGGGCCATGAGCTGCGCCACGAAGAACACAGCACTGGATGCCACAAGGCACCACACCCGACTGCCGTGGAGGACCTTTACGATAAAGTCGGAGCCGACACCTTTTTTATTCCGAGTTAGCTTGGAACTTCGGAGAAATGATAATTTGTTATCAACATACCGCTCAGAAGCCTGCCCGCGAAGCTGCCAATCGATAGAATGGACACGTGCATCTGCTGCTTCGTGATGAGGTAGGCCTCATCCACGGACTCGTCATAATGACGCCACAGGGCCTTTACGTCGTTTCCAATGTTGCTGGCGATTCTGTTAATACCAACGAATATAGTAAGTTAGCCAGATGCTGATACTCACTTGATCGTCATCAAACCGATACCGGTAAGAATGCCCATGATGAGGAAGAATTGCCAAAAATCGATTTCACGCAAAAGAGCCCAGCCACGAATATCTACTCGATGAGAACGATCCAGATCAACACTGCTCTGCACAAACACATCACCAGGCATAGAAGAGGAGCTCGACACCAGCGAGGACGTCTCGTCGGGCTCATAATCATCGGCTTCGACGGCTTCGATTTGCGCCTCATCAGCCTCGCGAGACGGCGCGGACGATTCGTACTCGGGATGAACCGGCTCGTGGTCGGCGGTGGAGTTGATTGTGGTAGTGGTATTGTTAAGTTTGGGCGACGTACCAGGTTCAACCGGAGCGCCGCGGTGCCCATAGCCGGGTCGGTTGGGCTTGGCCTCTTCCGAAGAAGTGCGTCGAAGCTGCTGCGAGCCGGAAAGACCATCGCTTGCCGGCAGACTGTGATAGGTGGCATGAGGATAGACGCGCAGGAAGAAGAAACCGAAGAAGGTTAAACCGCAGGTCCCGATGGACAGCAAGGCCAGGAAAGCGCTGGTGTTGCCGGGGAAGAAGAGACTCCCAAACGTCGAAAAGAAGAAGGCACTCAGACCAAAAGCAGCTAGGGGAAATGCGGTAGCAGTCCCCCGATGATGAGGCCAATTGAGAGCAGACGTCTTGACAGACGCGGCGAAAGCCAGACACCCGCCGAGGCCGGACAAGTATGAAAAGAAGCAGAGAAGCGGCACGGGGCCAGCCGCGCGATCGTAGGCGATGTGGAAGGGGAAGTATCCGAGGGCGAGCAGGACAGAGCCAATGATGACGGCAGAACGAGGTCCTTTGTGATCAACGAGCATGCCGACGGGAACGCCCAAAGAGTACATTCCCAGGTTGGCGGAAAGGCCAATGAGGTTCGTTTCGGTCGAGGAGAGCTTCAATCGCTCGGCAAATTGAGGGGACCATGCCGAGTAAACGTACTGTACAGCAGGGACATATCAGCTCATGAATCACGTTGAGAGTGACCGTAGGTCTGGCAGGGATGTGATTCGATCGCGCCAACTCACGTTGGTGCCGCATGCTAGAGAAATGACCGTGGCTGCGACGCTGGCAACCAGCCGCGCGCGGTGCAGCTCTTTCTCCCGTGGACCTGACATTGCTTCTGCAGACTGGGCGATGGTGAAATGTGAATCTCAAGATATCATGCTTTGGCCGGTTGGCGGCGGATGTCAGCGAGGGACGGCAGCGACAATCGGCACCGATGACGGCGAAGAGTCGGGGAGAGGGGTGTACTGTTTGCGACGGTTGGGGTTATGGTAGATGTTTTGGTGTTTTAGTGTACTATCGGAGGAGCAGTATTCATAGCGATATTGGCGAAGCCAGAAGCATGCGACATGAAGACCTGGGCGTCGTCTGAGGACTAAGGAAATCGGAAGGGCAGGAAGGAGTCAGGGTAACGTAGAGGGAGGAGGAAAGATAGAGGTTGTCGAGGGGCGGCGGGAAGCTTCGTCGAGTCGGAAAACGAAACGGGAACGATGCCGGATCGGATCCCTTATCTACGGGCGGGAATCACGAATCCATTCTTTTGGGGCCGCGCATGCACTTCAACTGGGAAGGTAACGGGAAATAAGGTAGGGATTAGGAGCCCTGGGGGATCCCCCTGAAAGCTAAGCTGCGATGCCGTAAGATGCCGTAAGTGCCCTGCCGAAAAGACAAACACACTACGTAACGAGTACCAATGACGCTGTGCGTATTACATATTGGCTACGTAAAGGGTCTCGTACCCGGTACTTCTGTCCTCCTCGGCATCTTGGCCTGCCGCTGGAGTGCCTTGCGTTTCTGTTTCCCTAACTTCCTTTCAGGCGTGGCAGGGAAGGGTGGTGGCGCGTGCATGTGTCAACTGCACGACTGGAATATGGAAACCCATGCGCCGCCGCCCTTCATCATGCCTGCTCACTTGAACCAGCAGTAAATTACCTGTGTGCCTGGCCAGTCGGGCTGAATGTCTCAGCGGGGTTAATGTTAATGTCGCCAACTTCGTGTAAGTCAGCCGAACATAGTCGGCTGTTCTCCCTCGGCGCTGGCATAGTTCGCTCGACACATGGAAAATACTCAGTCACTTGATCTCCTTGTAAGACATCATAGACGCTACGCTAGTAGAGAACATAGTTCTCGTGAGTATGATCCCGCCTTCCACCAAGTCTAAGGAGCTGGAGCGTTGGAGTCACCGAAGGCAAACTCACGAAGTCGTTCTGAACCAAGCAAGTGGACGAACAGTCTAGTTACCATTTTAACTGCTAAAGTTCTCAAAGTTAAGTGCAGCGAGGTGTACTTCATGCAAGACTTTCGATGCGTATGAGTGGGACAAGATAGATGTTCGGGTTGCGCACCACTGACTTGCACCATATACAACGAATCAGACCTCAAGTGTGGATTCCACTCATGGAGATTGTCGCACGCAATACAGCACAACCACGTCGAGCGTAGCAACCCCGCTCCCTTTACGACAGGCCATCTGCAGTATCACAGTATTGCCTTCTTTCTTTTTGGGTGTCTTTTCCCATTCCAATGCCCATGATGAGATCAGGTCAAAAGGATGAGCGGTTCAGTCCGAGGAGCATCTGAAGCAAAGGCAAAAACTAGGTACGCAAGTGTACTGGGTACCTTACCATGAAGCAGTTGCTGGTTGCCGTTCAAACTGCAAATGATTGATTTAGACGATGGGCGAGCTAACTTTCAAACGAGAAACTCGCTTATGAGGCTACTTGGGTACCGAATAATGAATAGGGCAGAGCCAGCCAGCGGATTCTCGGATGTCCGCGTCAGGATCGTCGCGATAAGGCAACTGAGGTTGAGCAGGAAAGGCAGGTGTAAGTAAGGTAGCTTCACTTCACTCGGTGCCAGGTAGGCGAAGGATGTCAGGAGTCGGTGCAGAATTGCCGATAGTGGATGGCCGACTTCGGCGGAGAGTCCTGGACTCCGGGGTTCGGATCCGGGTGGGGAGCCACAGCACCTTAGGGACTACGTAATCTCACGTGTCCCCCAGCCTCCAACAGTGTGACCCACTCTTTGTGGCTCGTTATGTCCGGTCTGCAAGCAACCTCTCTACCTAATCCCATAGGTAGTGCGCCGCGCCGACTCGAGGCATCTCGCAACGACATCACCGACGCGACACCTCCATCTTTCCAGCGCGACCCTCGCCGAACAGACGTTCACACATTTTCGATCGATAGCTCATACCGTAGGAAAACGGCGCCATGGGTGCTTTGCTTTCGTTGCCGCTGATGGCGGTGCCAAGCATGGGCACGGTACGACGAGTTCCCTCCGATTCCTTGCTCTACGGCTTGTAGAGTCTATCTTCACTTCACAAGCTAATACCTTACAGCTCATCGGCTTCGCTGCCAGTTGCTGCGGTGCGGCAACTTGCTCTGCAGTCTGCAGCGCTTGTGGGAAGTGCGGCAACAGGTATTTCCTCCCCCACCACGTGAACACACCACTCTGAGTACTGAGTTCATCGTAGTGTCGCCACCCGTATCGGCTACGCAGTCATGCTCCTCGTCAACTCAATCCTGTCCTGGATCATGCTCACCCCGTGGGCTATCAAAAAGCTGGAACACCTCATGCTCGACTATGTCAAGATTGACTGTCCCAACGGCCAATGCTACGGGTGGATGGCCGTCCACCGCTTCAACTTCGCTCTCGGTCTCTTCCATCTCATACTCGCCGGGCTTCTGTTCGGTGTAACATCTTCCAAGAACCCTCGCGCCGCTATTCAAAATGGCTACTGGGGGCCCAAAGTCATCGTGTGGCTCGCCTTCATCGTTCTCTCCTTCCTGATCCCCGATGAATTCTTCCAGTTCTACGGCGCCTACATTGCGCGGTTTGGTGGCATGTTGTTCTTGATCCTCGGCCTCATCTTGCTTGTTGATCTCGCCCATAACTGGGCCGAGTATTGTCTCGAGCAGATTGAAGAAACCGACTCCAAGGTTTGGCGGACAGTTCTCATCGGCTCTACGTTGGGCATGTATCTTGCTTCACTCGCCATGACCATCGTCCAGTACATCTTCTTCGCCGGATCCGGTTGCTCCATGAACCAAGCAGCAATTACGATCAACCTTTTGCTATGGATTGGAATTTCTTTCATCTCGGTCCATCCCACCATTCAGGAATACAACCCCAAGGCTGGTCTTGCCCAGGGTGCCATGGTCGCCGTATACTGCACCTATCTCACCATGTCCGCTGTTTCGATGGAACCCGATGACAAGCAATGCAACCCCTTGATTCGCGCTCAGGGAACCCGCACCACATCTGTCGTCATTGGCGCCGTCGTCACTATGCTCACAATTGCGTACACTACGACACGGGCCGCGACCCAGAGCCTTGGACTTGGTTCTTCCGGCGGCATCCGTCTCCCAGAGGAAGATGAGCACGATCTCGTCACTCACCAACCTAGCGCTCAGAAACAGATGCGGGCGGAGGCCTTACGTCGTGCCGTCGAGGAGGGAAGCTTGCCGGCGGACGCTCTCTTGTCTGACGACGAGAGCGAGGCTGGTGGCAGTCGTGTCCACGGGGACGATGAGCGTTCCCAGACGCAGTACAGCTACACCGTTTTCCACATCATCTTCTTCTTGGCCACGGCGTGGATTGCCACATTACTGACTCAGAGCTACGACGATCAAAATGCCGATGGCAACTTCGCTCCTGTCGGCCGGTCGTACTGGGCCAGTTGGGTGAAAATTGTAAGCGCCTGGGTCTGCTACGCCATGTATGCTTGGACGTTGGTGGCTCCAGTCGTCCTCCCAGACCGCTTCGACTTTTCCTAGACATCTGTATACATAGCATTATGTGGTTTCTCAGTCTTGACAGAGCGGAACGTCTTTGGGTTGCATAATTTAGGAGGCAATAGTGAATAGTTAGTTGAATGGCATCGTACTACCCTCATAGTTTGTACCCCCGTAGTTCGTACGTGCTCCGATCCTATGATGCTGACTTGTCTACTCCCGGCGCCGTGGATAGACTGAACGGAGTGAGAGCCCACGATGCCTCGTCTGGTCAACGGAACGCATTCGCTGTCAAAACTTGCGAGACATGCAAAGTGCGGTAAAGGAACGATTTTGTTTCCAGGTAGATCAGGTCGACAAAAAGTGGTCGAATTCTCTAAGCTATCCACACTTTTCGTTGCCCCCCCCCCCCTTCTTTTTTGATTTTCCAACGCATATCGAGCGTACCGAGCCCAAACGCCATTGTATTTCGAAAGTGGATTTTCTTCCACTCACTCACTACGCGTGCGCTTGACGACCCTTGGACCCAATCGACTCAGGTCTGGGAAGCCAAGCTCCCGCCTCCACGAGAAGTCCTTCAAGCCTGCTGGACAGCCTCGGTCGCGTGGAACCCGTCTAAGGTCACGTTGACCGCGCCGGCCTGAACGAGCTACGAGAAAGTCAGTATTGGTGCCTCAATGGATGACATAGTTGACGGTACTTACAGCTCGCGAGAGGTCTTCAATCAAGTCCGTAGCGTCTTCGATGCCCACGCACAAGCGGATGAGGTCTTCCGGCATCTGCCTCTCCTTCCGGGTCTTGGCGTCGATGCTGGCGTGGCTCATCTGGCAGGGCATGCTAATCAGACTGTTGACGCAGCCGAAGCTAACGCTGATACTATACAGCTTAGCGGCTTCGACAATTCTCTCCGAAAGCGCCGCGTCGCCGGTCTCGAACGACAAAACGGCACCCGCACCTCGTGCCATAGACCAGTGCAGGTCGTACTGGGGGTGCGACTTGAGTCCCGGGTATCGGACCTTGAAACCATGGGACTCGAGGAACTCGGCGATCTGCTGAGCGTTGGCTTGCTGCTTCTCCATGCGGATCGCGAGTGTCTTGATGCCTCTCATGAGCAAGAAAGAATCGTTAGGCGACAGACCGCATCCAGTGGAATTGATGGTGAAGTACAGCTTGTTGCCAATGTCGGTATCGTTGACACCAATCACACCAGCCATGATGTCGTGGTGTCCAGACAGATACTTTGTTCCGGACTCGTAGACGATGTCTGCACCAATGTCCAGGGGGTTCAGGAGCATAGGCGAGAGCATGGTGTTGTCCACAACAACCAAAGCCTTGTCGTTGGCCTCGTGAACGAGCTTAGCAATGGAGGGGATGTCGACGACCTTGATAAGAGGGTTCGTCGGCGTCTCCAGCAGAACCATGGCCGTCTTTTCAGAGATGACGGGACGAATGTTCTCCACGTTGGTCGTGTCAACATGGTGAACGACAATACCCTGGTTGGAAGCCAAGTACGTGAGTAGACGGTTGGTGCCTCCGTACAGGTCATCGCCGGTGATCACTTCATCGCCGGGGCGCAGCAAGCGGGAAATAACATCCAAAGCACCCATGCCGGAGCCGACGGCCAAAGCCCTCGTGGCATTCATGATCTTGGCCAGGTGGCGCTCAAGATGAGTGCGAGTCGGGTTGCCGGACCTGGTGTAGTCGTACTCCCCACCACCAGTGGCACTGGTCTGCTTGAAGGTGGCGGACTGGTAGATGGGGATGCTGGATGCGCCATACTGATCGTTGCTGTCAGTGTAGACCAGCTCCGTGGCGAGGGCATAGCGACGACGACCGTTGCGAGGGCTAGACGGCGCGGGAGAAGGAGGAAGATCGTGTCCGTCAACGTCCACCCGCTTGAGGGGGTCGCTGGACTTTGATGCCGCTCCGTTGTTAGGCGGTGTAGACATGGTGAGACAAAGCGTGGGTAGTAATGGCGGGGTAGCACTAGTATCAAGGAGCTGCCGGCTTATCTGCGTGACAGCGGCAATTGAACGAGTTTCTCTTGGATTGATCGATTCGACGAATGGATCTTGGCCAGATGATGCCTGTACGTTGTCGCACTTGATGTTCGAGAGGGACGAGAGGGCGAAGGACGGATAGGAAGGTCCGGGAGGCGTTCGGGATCGAGTACAGTACTACCGCTGGTCTCCTTTAAGAGCCAGACTTGTCGCCGCGGACAGACTGAATTGCTCAGCAAGTCAATTGTCCAAACGCAGCACCGGCGTACTCGATTGAAAAGCAGAGGTAATTGACGAGAAGGTTGAAGGAGCTGATAGGAGCTTGCAGGTGTGTACAGGAGAAGTTTTACAGGGACGTTAAGTGAGGGCCGACGGCGGGCTTTTGGGGGACGGGGCGTGTGACTCCAACAGCGCTGGACAACCCAAGGTGTGGGCCCTTGCTGATGACGTGATTTGTCGGTGTGCACAGCGTGCCCCGAAAGTCGGCGATGGCGGGGCGGCATGAACCCTGGAAACGGCGGGGGGTGCCACGGTAGTGGTCCGAGTGGAATGTTGGCCGGGGAAAAGGCGCAGCGTTGGATTGGCACACTGCCCTGGCACGCTTGAATGGCAACAAATCAACGTCGGCGCATCATGCTTGATACATCTGACTGCCGACTATACCCGACTTTGCTCTGGTGCAGCGTGCCTGTGTACCTGGCCTAATTCTCACCTGAGGGCTATGGCGTCTTCTCAACAATACTGAGGCAATAGACGATTTCAATAAAAAGTTGTTGCAGCCTTGGTGTAAAAGGAGGGAACCTCAGGTGCTGCTGGTAAGGGTGACCAACGCTTGAAACATGGCAAGTTCTGTCGCGTAAAATGATGGTATTTCGGTATCCGTGTCCTCCTTGTATTGGTACATTTATTTGTACAAACGTCCCATTCTAGCATGAAATGCGTAAATTGCCCACTGCAGGCAATTGTGTTGTATAGATGATCCCGACATATCGAGTAAAAGTGCACTACCTTTTAAAGTAGACCTCTGTCACGCCTTTCATTCCCTTTCATACGGGCCAAGTTCGTGGTCAACTCAACCCAGCTCTTCAACAATATCTTCGTACTCATCTGCCGATGACCTCGACGCCTTGGAGTGTTTCGCATGGTTCTCCATCAGAATCTGACCTCCGCCCTTGCGGCCAAAGAAATCCTCTGTACGGATACCTCTGAAGTTCTCTGGTGTGATGCTCGACATGGAGTTTCCGCTCGCCCGATGCTCTCGCATGTATTCACGAACCGGTGCCATAGCAGCGTCACGGCATGCTTCTTTGATGTCGCTGCCCGACATGCCAGCTGTGACTTTGGTGATGTACTCCACACTAAACTCGGGATCTGTCTTTGTATCCTTCAGAATGAGCTGCAGGATCCTTTGTCGCTGCTCCTTGCCAGGAAGAGACACCGGGAACTTCTTGGGCATACGCCTGAGAATAGCCTCATCGATGTCATGTATCCTGTTGGTGGCACCGAGAACAACAATCCTCGCTGGCATGCCTGAAGAATTTGACGACGTCAATCCATCCCACAGGGTCATGAACCTGAATTGTCAGTGACATGGCACGATAGAATTTCTGTCATAAAACTTACTCGGCCTTGACCATTCCGCTGGCCTCATGCTCGCCGCTCCTTCTTGTGCCCAAGACCGCATCGATCTCATCAATGAAGATGATGGCGGGCTGCATCTTACGAGCCAACGAGAACACAGCTCGAACCAGTTTGTTCGAGTCACCATACCATTTTTCTGTCACTGTCGAAATATGGAGGTTGATGAAGGAAGCGCCACTCTCGTGAGCGACTGCCTTGGCCAGCATAGTTTTACCGCATCCTGGAGGGCCATAGAGTAGCACGCCAGAGGGTGCAGATAGCAGCGGCGCCGCGTGGGAATACAAGTGCGGCATAGTCAACGGGTAGATGACGGATTCCTTGAGTTCATCAATAATGTCCTCCAAGCCACCGATGTCTATTATACGCCATTAGCAATATCCCTGGTGCTGGGTCATTAGATCGATAGACACTTACCAGCGAAGCCGATTGGGATGTCCTCCGGAGCCACCATCTCAAGCGCAATGAGGTTCTCATATTCATTCAACACCAACTCTTCCGGCTTTGGCCCGCGACGAGAGACGCTGCTGTCGTCCGATGGTTCTTCGCCAGGTTTGCCCGCATTCTTGCCTTTGCGCAAGCGCTCTAGATGAGCCTTGGCCTGTAGCCGTGCTTGCTCGTGTTTCTCTCGATCGGGGTCGGCCAGGGTATTCGTGAGGGAAGAAAGAAAGTTTCTTGCAAGGTAAACGCCGGTTGCCATCTAGAGCGCGGTTAACAACCGGATCCAAACATGTGCTTTTAGTGATGCTGTCTACCCACCATACCAGCAACCAACAGCAAGTCCAGGGCAAAATCGCCCAGCCCCTTCTTTCTGTCACCCATGCCGAGAAGCTTTCCGACGGAACCCAGCCAACGGTCGAGGTCGCCCGTCATCAGTGTCGGCGTTGCGGCAGAGGGCCGACACAGTACGATCGAAACGGACTAGTCTGGGGACTCTCGGTGGTTTATTGCCGTCTGTTGGTATAGTTTCAAGGCAAGTATCGTTGGACTTGTGAGCAGGAAAAGGTCCCCTCTCACTGTCGCGCTGGAAAGAAATTCGTCCGGTGAATCGGCAGAAGCGTGTCCAAGTGACGGGATGGAGTATTGCTGGCAACGAAATAGACGTGTCCAACGCCCCAGAGAATTGAATCGAGCCGACAACGCCACCCGCGGTTCACAAGGGTGGCCAGTAAATTTTCAAGCCACATTAGTTTCTGTTCCGCTGGAGAGCGCACCGCCACATGCAAAGTCGCTCTGAGGTGACCAGTTGCACCTACCTATCAGCTAAGGTACCGGAGGTACGTGGATAAGCCGATAAGAAGGTAGAACCCAAGGGAGGAAAGGTACCTGAGGTATGTAGCAGCCAGGTACCAGGATAAGCATGTCCTTCTAGGCGAGTTGAGCACCTTAACGCGGCCCGCCTAAGGTCGCCTAGGGGTAGGTGCCGAAAGTGAGGTAAGGTACCGAAGTAGAGCCAAGCAACTGGGTCGCTGTCGCACCGCGGCTTTGTTTACTTTTTCATCGCAAGTTGCATTTCCACACTTGCGCTTGCCCCTCAACTACGACCTTGGTATTTTGACCCTGCTATCATGACCAACGCAGCAGTCTGACATCGATCGCCTCAGTCTAAGTGCATAACAAACATCATTCCGTATCCTAGATACATGCGCACTTCCCCCACGCTGATAACACACGAATTACTTCCGCGCGACACGGAACATTTGTCTCCGGCACGTTGACTATCCTGACGACGAGTGCGCTGCACCGATACACCCCGCCTACTTGCATCGGCCTCCAATCCAATTCGTGGTGCAAATATCGCGTACTGCTCTCTCACCTGAATCAGACTAGAATACAGACTTTGACGACCTTCTGTCCCCGGCGTCAAGATCATCACCTCAAACCCGGTCAAGATGTCGCCGGCAAAGAAGGCCAGGGGCAGACCACCATCTGCCAATAAAGTCACAAAGCCTGCCCAGACGGCTACAAAAGGTCGCGCGGCTGGAAAACTTGCAGCGGCGATTAGCAAAGCTGGAGAAGAGGCCATCAACGACACGTCGAGCAAGACGAGCGGCAGAGTTTCGAAGCGAGGGCGTAAGGCTGTCGAAAAGATCGCGATTCAAGAAGATGATGATGTCGAGGACGTGGACGAGGAAGAGGATGCGTCGAATGTCGACAGTATGGCCGAATCAGAAGAGGACACCGCCCCGGTGGTGACGGCGACTACAGCGAAGACTAGAGGGCGACCGAAGGCAGCAGCTACGACAGCGACGACTACCGACTCATCGAAAGGAGTGCCGAATTCTACTACGAAGGATACCACAAAGTCGACTAAGCGAGGGCGTGGTGCAGGAGCAAAGGTCACTCGGAGCGATGAATCTGAAATTCCAGAGACGCAGGCTCAAGATGTTATGGACGTCGATACGGAAGGTGATGACCAATTCGAGGAGCTACCGGTACCAAAGCCGTCAACGCATCGCGGTAATCGGACGAGCGGTAATCCGGACTTGGATGCTAGTGACGTGCAAATCCGGAGGCGCCTGGGCGACACAATCAGAAAATACGACAACCTGGAAGCGAAATACCGCGATCTTCGGGACATCGGGGTAAAGGCAGCAGAACGGAACTTTGACAATCTCAAAAAGGAGAGTGAAGAAAGAGCAAAAAGTGAGTGTCAAATGCCAGATGTAGGGGTAGCAAACTGCTAACAGGATGAAGCTGCAAACGAGCTCATTGCGCATCTCAAGGCCGACCTTACAGAGCAACGTAGCTTGGCCAAAGAAGGGCAACAACGCAAAAAGCAACTGGAAGAAATGGAGGCAAAGGTGTCAGTTCTGACGACTTCCCTAGCCGACGCAAAGCAGGAAATCAAGACCCTGACGACGCGCTTAGCCGCGAGCAGGTCTGCTGAGGCTGCCGCTAGTGCCAAGGTCATACCTGGGAGCGCCGTCAAGGGCTCAAGCGCCGCTGCCAGAGCCATCGCTAGCGCTGATGTTGTGCAAACGGGACAATTGAAAGAGGACCTTTATGGCGATTTGACCGGCTTGATTGTCAGGGTTACCAAGCGTGACTCGGCCGGCCAGGTCTTTGATTGCATACAAACGGGGAGAAACGGAAGTAAGTCATCGTTTTTACCAATAGTTATCTCATCGTTCTAACCTCGGCAGCCCTTCACTTCAAACTTGAAGTTGAGAACGAAAGCTCCGGCGAAAACTACGAGGAGGCACATTTCACGTACAAGCCACAGCTGGATTCCAACAGAGATCGCGAACTCATCGACATGCTGCCTGACTTCCTTGTCGAAGAGATCGAATTCCCTCGGCCACATGCGGCAAAGTTTTACGCGCGTGTCATCAAGTCTCTGACGGAGCGGCTGGACTGAAGGGGCTGACGTTAGGACTGTTCTGGTAGTAAGAAGCTGGATTTGACTGGCGGGCGGGAAGCATTTGAAGTTGTTCGATATGATACCCCTTAGAGACCGTGTTTACTTCTCGCTTGTGGTTTCGGGGCGTGCAAATGCCGCCCAAAGCTGCTGAGGACTTTGGCTTCGGCGGATACGTTGGAGCCGATGAGGAATAGCTCAGTTGATAGTGTGTGAATCAACTGGTCTACCCCCGATTCGCAGAGTTTGCCCTTGCCAGTTAATGGACATGGTGCACCAAAAGCCAAGAGCTGTTCTTGTGACTGCCTACCTTAGCAAGCATTCCGTACCTTATCCAAAGAGGTTCTCAAGAGAAGCAGCTTGACAGATACTACCTCAGTTGACTGGCCTGTAAGAGGCGAACACCTTGATGTCCCAGCAGCAAACTACAACTCAATGGTTGTGAAGAGCAATCCGCTTTTAGCAATATGGAAAGTTGCTTCGCGAATGCAATGCTCAATAGGGGGAGTAGCGTGAAGGAATGTTTGCATTCCAACCAACTTCAACACATGTCTAAATATATCTGTGTCTAGCCATGTCCTTGGCAATGATGTAGACACGTGGGCAAGATCAGGCACTTCTAAACCTGCTATGCTACTACTAGGTAGGCAGTAACTAAGGTGTCTTTCAAGTCCCGGACACTGCCCCTGGACTAAGGAACCTCCAAGTATTGTTACCAGGATGGAAGCTGTAAAAGCCCCGCTACATGCACACAGCCGCTCCCGCTCCACGGCGTGGGGCTACCGATGTCAATGTGGGTCCGTCATCCCTACACGTAGGTGAAAACCAATAATTTCCGCGTCGATGCAACAAGCGGGACGACTGTCAACCCTGGACTGGGAAGCGATTACATACATTGAGCTAGACGAGACGGCTGCGTTCCCATTTTCCATGAATAAAGTCCAGCGTTGCGCATCAACATCATTGTATCATACTCTTTCTTATTGGAGCAATGCGCGAGCCGTGAAATGACTGCGCTTCCACTCTCTTTCGTAGAGCTCTCGAACTTTTCCCCTTCATTCTTTTGATCCCGTCATCCACCAGACCAATCGACTCTGGCGCTGAGCGAGTGGATTCATTCGCCTAGTACCCACTCGGGGCGTGTCGTACCCCAGATCATCGTTGATTGAGCTACTCCCACTCCTTTAAGCGCACAGGAATTGACAGACATCGCGAAAGACACCACACCAAAGAGAAGACATTTCTCCTTGCCCCTTCGTCTGTGATGGCAGTCTCCTCGCGCGCCGGCTTTCTAGCCGTCGCTGTCGTCTTTCACCTCGTCTACATCTATTCGATTTTTGACATTTACTTTGTCAGTCCTATCGTTTCGGGCATGAAGCTTGTTCAAGTCGAACGACCCGAAAACTCCAAGGCCCCTGCAGACCGTCTGGTTCTTTTCGTGGGTATGCACTCGCCCACCTTCTCAAGTACCACGTGGTAGCTGGTGCAAGATGCTAACACTCTCTTCCAGGTGACGGTTTACGAGCAGACAAGGCTTTCCAGTCCTTTCCCGACCCTTACCCCGAATCCGAGGATGACCTGACCCCGCGACCCCTCGCCCCTTTCCTGCGATCCCGCGTTCTTGAATATGGCACCTTCGGGGTGTCACACACGCGCGTGCCGACTGAATCTCGCCCTGGCCACGTTGCGCTCATCGCCGGTCTTTATGAAGATGTCTCGGCCGTGGCGACTGGTTGGAAGCTCAACCCCGTAAACTTCGACAGCGTCTTCAACCGGAGCCGTCATACCTGGAGCTGGGGATCCCCCGATATTTTGCCAATGTTCGAGCAGGGTGCTGTCCCCGGCCGCGTCGATTCCTACACATACGGACATGAGTTTGAGGATTTCAGTCAAGATGCATTACAATTGGACTTCTGGGTCTTTGACCATGTCAAGGAGCTTTTCGCCGATGCGGCCAAGAACGAGACTCTTGATGCCGCTTTGCGCCAAGACAAAGTCGTCTTCTTCCTCCATCTGCTCGGGTTGGATACCAATGGACACTCGTACCGTCCCTACTCGAAGGAATACTTGCACAATATCAAAGTCGTGGACCAAGGCGTCAAGGAGATTACCGAAATGATTGAGAACTTCTACGCCGATGACCGGACCGCCTTCGTCTTCACTGCCGACCACGGCATGAGTGACTGGGGTAGCCATGGCGATGGCCATCCCAACAACACTCGCACCCCTTTGATCACCTGGGGATCTGGCATTGCCCCTCCGGTGCTTTCATCCGATTCTGTTGCCCCCGGGCATGACGAGTACTCTTCTGACTGGCATCTTGATGAGATCAAGAGACATGACGTGGCGCAAGCTGATATTGCTGCTCTGATGGCATACTTGATCGGTGTGGAGTTCCCTGCCAACTCCGTTGGCGAGCTGCCCTTGTCCTACGTCTCATCGAGTATCGAGGAGAAGGCCCAGGCGGCACTCATCAACGCTCGCGAAATTTTGGAGATGTACAGGGTCAAGGAAGAACAAAAGAAGGCCACGGAGCTTCGCTACCGACCATTTCAGCCCCTGAGTGATGCAGGTTTGGCCCCCGAGCGCCGAGTGGCCGCTATTCAACGCCTGGTCGACGCTGGTAACTACGAAGAGGCCATCGAAGAGTCTGCAGCTCTCATGAAGATTGCCCTGGAGGGCTTGAGATACCTCCAGACTTACGATTGGCTATTCCTCCGCACGCTGATCACAATTGGGTACCTTGGTTGGATGGCGTTCGCGCTGACGATTGTCGTTGATTTGCATGTTCTGCGTGGCAGCCAGCTTCCTTCACGTACGACTCTTGGCACGACGGCTTTCAGCTCCGTCCTTGCAGTGTTGTACGCATCATTCATCATTTCCAAGTCCCCCATCACCTACTATGCATATGGCTTCTTCCCCGTTGTCTTCTGGGAGGAAGTCTGGGCTAGGCGCAGCTCTCTTATTGAGGGCCGAAAGGTTCTCTTTGGGCACATCAAGACCGGAGCGAGTGTGTTTTCGTTCCTGCTGAACCTCGTGGCTTACATCGGCATTATCGTGTCTTTGGTAAGATGTATCCCTCCTTCAACCGGTGGACGTTGTTAACACAGGCACACAGGCTCTGGGATACATCCATCGCGAGGTCCTCACCGTGATCTACGTTCTCGCGGCTTTTTGGCCAATGACGTACGGTTTGAGGTTCCTTCAGTTGAACTCTCTGTTGTCTGTTGTATGGTTCTTCTCCTGTTTAGTCATGAGCGTGTTTACATTGCTCCCCGCCATGAAGTCGGAGGATATTCCTTTGATGTACGTTTGCCCCATGCCATTTATACTTGGACTCACATTTTTAACGCATGGCAGTGTGGCCGGTGGAATCGTCATGACCGCCATTGGTCTGGCGTACCTTATCTGGGAGGACAGGCTGTTGGCGAAGCCAGCTCTGCCGATATCCAGGGCTTTGACCGGTGTTCAGGTAAGGAATTATGCTCAGTTTGAAATGCTCGAGACAACAAAGACTAATTGGAGACTTTGCAGATCGGCTTGATCTTGCTCGCAATTGTGGTCACTCGATCCAGCGCCATCTCTCTTCAGGCCAAGACGGGGTTGCCTCGGGGCAATCAAGTCGTGGGCTGGATTGTTCTGGGTAAGTGTTCGAGGATTGGGTAGCTTCGTGGCATTGCTAATCACCTGTCCAGTTGTTTCACTGCTCATGCCCTTGGCTCAACGTCTGCAGCCCAACAGCCACTACAAGCACAGTTTGATGACCATGTTCCTGACCTGTGCACCGACTTTCGTAATCTTAACCATCTCCTACGAGGGTGTCTTCTACGTGGCTTTCAGTGCCTTACTGGTTGCCTGGGTCGGTCTGGAACATCGCGTATTCGTCTTCAGCAAGGGCACTGACGAAGATCGACGCTCTTCTTCAAAAGAAACTGCCAGTAAGCCAAAGGAGGTGTCCACATCACGCTTTAGAGCCTTGACTCTCGCCGACGCGCGTGTATGTCTGTTCTTCTTCGTCTTGCTGCAATCAGCCTTCTTCAGTACCGGTAACGTGGCGTCGGTTTCGTCCTTCAGCCTGGACAGCGTGTACCGTCTGATCCCCATCTTCGACCCCTTCTCACAAGGGGCACTGCTTGTTGTCAAGCTCATGATTCCATTCGCCCTCATATCGGCGAACCTCGGAATTCTCAACGTCAGACTTGGCGTGGCGCCGTCCTCTCTCTTCATGGTTGTCATGGCCATCAGCGACGTCCTCACACTATACTTCTTCTGGGTGGTCAAGGATGAAGGCTCTTGGCTGGAGATCGGCTCGACCATTAGCCACTTTGTCATTGCCAGTCTGTTGTGCGTCTTTGTGGCGCTCCTCGAGGGTGTGAGCGCCCTGTTCATTAGTGGCATCGAGGTTGAGGGGTCTGAACCAAAGGCCGGACAGAACGGAACGGCGGCGGCGGCGTCTACTTCCGCCGGAGGCACAATCGCCAACGGCAACGGAAAGACATCGGGTGCTGGTACAAAGCTATAGGGGGGGGGGGGACTTTTCCAAGGCTCCGGTGGAGGCGGAGGATAATGTACATATGATGGCATCAGATACTGATTTACTATTACAATGCCTGGTGATACCCCGGATTTTGAGCTAAATCAAGACGTGCGGAAACAAAAGCCGCAGGAAACGCTTGAAATCACAGACTCCCCGGTAAGACCCGGGATGAGCTTGGCAAGCTGTGTCCTGTAGACTGGACATTTCTACGTGCCATTCGTTGACCAGCTTGAGTGTCAATGACATGCTCCAACCCCACACTCGTCATCTCTGGGGAAAGTTCTTGGCTTTCAGAAACGTAGTTGCCGCTGTTCTGTGATGAAACTTTCTTGGCTTACAACTTCTCATACCCCCCTTACAACCACCAAATCAATGTGCCTCGGCATCATCCGCATAGAAGAAATCATAGTACATATTCAACCCCGTGAAGCCCCGGTGATCTCAAGGGCTGCTCCCGGGATATAGGTTAGTCCCATTAGTATATCGGCCGTATGGAAGGGGCGGGAAACTGGGGACGGGGGGGAGGGCAGCAGGGGTAAAAGGGAACATTGCGGGTTGGAAAGGAAAGTCGGGGAGCTACGGCCAACTTGCCATTTGGCCCTGCAAGGTACATTACACAAACGCGAGAATGACAGGATGTCTAGTGTGTTATGTCGGGCTAGCCATTGGTGATCTTACGTGGAGTTGAGTGATCTCGGGGAGATAATGCGGGGAAGTAAGTAAGGTAGGTATAGACGTAGCAGCCCAAGCCAGGCCCAGCTCTCACTCCGTACTTTAGTTTCGCTGTGTGCTTCAAAGACGTCAAATACTGCGTTATGAGTGCCCCTTGGTTGGGCGTTTCATTCTCTGCTCGTGTGTGTGGTGTGGTTGCAACAACCTTGAATTTTATATACTAGTCCAACAAACGTAGAGATTTACTCTCGAAAATCATTGAGGAACCGGAGAATCCCGTTTTTCATCTTTATCGGGCTAGTTGTATTTACATACAATGCTCTTTTGCCTGCCCCACGATCCTGTCTGCATAGGTGAGGGTGTTTTGGCGGGGAAAGGTTGCATGAGCTGGGTCAAATACGTCGTGAGACGGAGGGACGGGCATGCTGCACTTGACATGTCCACAGACTCGTTAATCTGAAGCAAGACGGAGAATATATCCGGCAGTGGACGTCGAAGAGTAGTAACAGTCTACCTACAAGGCCACATGCCAAGATGAGAGGACGTATGATGAGTGTGGTATTCTCCATCTCTATTAGCACAAGTGATCGACCCATACAGGATCGGGCATTGAAAGGGAAATCGCACGATACAATACGCACACGGTACAGCGATACAGGTCATGGGACTGTATGCTCTAGTACCAGGAAACTTCAGTTATGTTGGGAACAGAACCAAGCATTCAATGCAAGCTGGCAACCTCTAGGGGGAACAGCTCGTAGAGGAAGAGTAACTAGAGGAGGACTATCGAACGGAAGAAACTGCATTACCCAACAAACATGCCAAACTGGTAAACAGCGCGGGGATGCAGATACTATCCAGTCGTCGTTCCTCCGGACGATCGTGGATCGCAGTCATCCCAAGTTCCCAAGACAAACGCAGTAACGGCCTGGAAAGTTTGCGGCGTCTAGAATCCCAATATTGACAGAATCATTTGTCACCTGCTGTGCAACAATTACAAGACATGAGCACGGTTTGACACTCATACACACTCTACTAGGGCCTTACAGACAGACACGACACACACCAAAGAAGTACACTGGCGGCACACTAGGTAAAATCGTACAGCTAGTATCCCAGTCACCTTGGTGCCATTTCTTGCTCGGGTTCCGCGCGCGGAAATCTTTCATGAGCAGTTCGACTACTTACACAGGAGACTAATGAACTTTCTGGTCGCAACGTCAGTGCTTCCCACCCTGGGGGAAGTGCCGTGCGCCGGGCCAACTCTCGAGTCCACCACTTAAGCATATCGCCATGGCAATTCTGGATCTTTAGCAACCAGAATGGTGGTGGTGGTGGTGGTGGTGCCGTGGGTGCCGTGTGCGCCGGTACCCTTGCCATGGCCGAGGAGATGCTGGCCGGCAATCGGAAGAGCCCGGTGAGAAGTGAGCTCATCTGCCCTTTTCTGTCCCCTCCCCTATTAAGTGATCATGTAGAATTTGTCCGGTTCAAAGAAGGGTCTCTTTTGAGAAACCTGGAAGACGCTGACGCTGCATGATGAACACTATACGCACAGAGAGCAGCGTGGCCATGCAGTCGAGGTCGTGATCATATGCTTTTTCTCGGCCCCTCAGGATTTCTGGGCGCTACAAAAGAAGAAATCCACTTTAGAGAGTCGAGACACACAGCAGAGCGTGGTCCTTACCTAAAAAGGTAATACATGCGCGGACCAGACCGTTTCGGAGCACACCCCCGATCCATACCCTTACCGCGACGACGATTCCTTCAGGCACTATCCGTACCGTACTTACTTTTGTACGGAGTAGTGTAGGCTCTGTCCAGTCGTGCAGCTGCGAATAAGCAGGAGCTCATCACCAACAACTGATCATCGTACCGCTCGCTGCCCGCACCGCACCGCACCGTTCCTGCTCCTTACCCGCATCTGCGCGCGCGCCCAGCCTGCACCCCGCCCTTTCCGCCGTCCTCCGTAGACTGATACCTAGCATACCTACCTTGGTATACGGAGTACCTAGTATTAGTATACAATTTTTTACGGGCCTGCTCCTGCGCCTTTGCCTGGCCCCTGCAGGCCATCAGGTTCCCTTGCCTTGCCTTGCCTTGCCGTAAGCCTGGCGGGGTGTCTTCTGCAACCACAATCCCGCAACCCGCACCCTTAGCAGTCCATTCCCCGTCCATCACGGCCAATTCCATCTCTTTTACCCCAGATCTAGCGGGTTACGCCCAGCCTCACCCTCGTCCACCACCCATACCGTACCTATCCGGTCCGAGGAGGGCTAAAAGAATCATACTCGAAATGGATGGCCGGGGAGGAGCGGAAGGAGTGGATTCACCTCCTCAGTCTCCTTCGTTCCCAACATGGATTGGCGCATGACTGTTCGACCAGTGGCGTGGGTTGGATTCTGAATGACTGCCACCTGCGGCAACAAACACTGCTTCATGTCCGGCTGCCTCACTCTCTAACCCCCTACGTACCCTAGGCATTCTACACTATGTACATATGGACTTTGGGCGTGCCATGGCACACGATCATCCGTCTTCGCCGGAAGCCGGGACCAGCAGAGACGTTGGCGGGGGAGGGGCAGCGATCCTGCGAGCACTGAATACCGGTAGCACCGTTTGGAAGGTCTCACATGCTTGCCCCGTAAACGTTTGTGGCTTTTTCTCTCGCTCCATTCCACCGGCCTTGGGTACACACTCCGTCGAGGCTGCCACACTCACCCACGAGACCACAATCTCGGCGTCAACAGCCAAGGGGACCTTCAAGCTAAACCATTGGCGGCGGCAGAGGCGAAACCTGGCACTCGACACGGCACACTAGTCACTGGTCACGCAGAAACTACATGCTAAAGCAAGGACGGAGACGGTGTGATTCTTTTCATGCGTTGTACCTGGGAACTTGGTATTGGTGTCAGCTCGAGTAGCCGGGTCCTTTCTTCCAGACTCCATTTATCATCTCCAATGTCTATAATAGAAGATGGCTCGCTCCCGTCCACGCATATCTTGTCTGGGAGTAAAACACCCAAGCCTCAAAAGCAAGCATAGCCGCAGGTTATCAAGGGAAGAAACACAAGATAACGCCTGTTTTGCTCCCGCTGCGTCCTCCAAAGTGGGAACACGTCGAGCCATAACTGGATCCGATATTTGAGAAACCGAAGCTGGGGCCAGACGACCAGCCGGACCTCCCTCCGTGATACCTGCCTAGCCTTACCACTGTTCCCTCGTGGTACGGACACAAGGCAGATCGTCCCGGGACAAGGGCAGACGAGTTTACCTTACTTACACGGGAGCCGATTGCGAGACATCGAGAAAGTAGCGAGTCAACGTTAAGAAAAGAGGGCAGCGCATCGCCACATACCACAACAGTGGGTCGCTTACAACGCTGAACCTGGGAGCTAGACGACAGCGAGCGATAGAAACGCCAAGGGCTCTATGCTGTGAATCTAAAGCTGATTGCCTTTTCTGTATTTGCTGGTGAACAGACCAGTAATGTGAAGAGGGGGCTTTGCTCAACAAGGAACCCGAGCAGCGGCAGACCGGCAGATGCAGCGGGAATCTGGGTGCGGCACGACTTGGTTGGGTTTCTAATTCCCCGATCTATGATATCCCGTCATCGGCCGAGCTTCAAACCTACAGGCGACAACTCTGTCCGATCTTCAGACCAGGGAATCTGCCTTATTAGCGTCCACAAAAAAAGGACAACAGGGTATCTGAGTAGGAAAACAGGGTTCTAGACCAACGTACATGACAGCAGCTCCAGCTCTGTAGGGATATTGTTCTTGGTATGTCATGTTGTAGTTTACTTGAAAGGTACGCGACCCTTCCAGATTCGCCCTTTGCCGTGGTTATACTCATTGCTGAACTTCATCACCATCTGTCTTCTGTCTTCTCTCTTTTTCACTTTTTGTCTCTTTCTTTTTACAAATCAGCTTAGAACCTGGGCAGGCAGATGATATTCTTCCTGCGCGAAGAAAACAAAACGATCGAGTACTGACAGTTGTACACGGCAGCTTATTGCCCGAGTTACACGACAACAAGACACGCCGGACAAAGCAGAAACGTCCTCACAAAGGTCAGGAGGTCACCCATCTCCTGAGACCAAATTTGAATGGCTGTGCTTCAGTGGCCAAGTGTGCCGAATCTTGAAGAGGACGGCGACATTGAGTTCCCCGGAGTTGTGCTATTGAAGCAACAGCAACAGGAAACTCATCAACATTATCATCGAAACGAAGAATTATCACAGCAAAACTACTTTGAATTTGAAGAAGAGACAAAACAAGACATCGGGTTTCCAGAATTGGGCAAAGAAACCGACAGTGAGGTTCGAAAGCACAGCCTCGACCATCACGTCAGTCGCGACCTAGACTTGAACTTGAATTTCAGCCTTGACCTCGGCATCGACGGTGACATTGACCTTGCAGCGGCTCAGGTTGACGCGGCCGAATCTGGGATTCTGACAGAGAACAATTACAACGCAATTGCCGGTCTGCGGCAACAAAGCGAGTCCAATCCAACGTCAGTGCTCTTCCCATTCCATCAGCCGCAGCAGAGACAACAACAAGAAGAAGAACAGACGGGGCAACATCAGTTGTTGTTTGATACGGGCACATCAACGGATATAAGCTGCAGTGCAGGGGAAGAAAGAGCAGAAGAAAAACGAGAGGCAAGAGTTGCAGAGGTACCAACGTTTGCATTGCACCTTCCCGGACCTCAACCTGTGTTAGGTTCCGGACCTACTATTGACCCATCTTTTTCTCTTCTGGCATCATCCACAATATCAGCAACATCATCACAACTTGAAGGAGCAACATCATCAGGAGTCGCAGGACATTCGGCAGAAGTGCATTTTCCGAATTCCATCTCATCAATCTCCAGCCCCAGCAGCTCCGGCACTAGCAGCTCCACTGCCCCCAGTTCCACGTCCCGCAGGCCCATCCTCTTCCCATCAGCACCGGCGCCAGCACCAGCACCAGCACCTGCATCAGCATCAGGGGAAACACCATTTGCCCACTCCCACTCCCACCACTCCTTGTTCTTGCTGACCTCACCCCCCCTCCACCCGCATCCGCATCCGCACCCGCACACGCACCCGCACCCACGCCACCTGAACAATCCTCGCACACATCAGAAGCACCAGAAGAAGTACCAGAAGCCTTACCAGCGTCAGCACCAGGGCCATCACCTCCAACACCAACACCACGCCCACTCCCCGTACCCAGCCGGCCAGGCCAGCCACCACCACCACCATAATCACCAGGCTCCGCTGCCTCCGTCCATCCCAGTCTCAGTCTCAGTCTCAGTACCAGCACCACCAACACCAGCACCAACACATCCAGAGTCTGCGCCAGAGCCAGACGTTGTTGCGCCTGGGCCACCAGAGCCAGTGACTCGGCCGCTGCCACACCTGTTCCCTCCCACTGGCCCTCCTCCCATTACTAGTCGACCCGAGAAATTCGTCGACGAACCTCTTCACCACTACCCTCACGACTCCGTCGCAGCTCGCGCTTCACGGTCGCCCATGGATGTCGATATGTCGTCGACCGACCTTTCGGCTCAGCAGCAGCAACAGCAGCAGCAGCTCAACCAGCAACAATCACCACAAAAATCAGAGTCGCCATCACAGGCCCCAGGGACCTCTACCAATCCAGCTGGTACGAGTCCCAACGCTCAAGGTAGCTCTGCTGCTGCTGCCGCCGCGGCCGCGGCCGCTGCGAACCACTTGAGTTTTCGCAGGTTCGTCCCTCACCACCGACCCAAATCCCGTCAAATTCTTTCAATAGCCATCTTCCAATCAATGGCGGATGTAACCTGTGTGCTAACATGTTTTTTTGATTCGAATAGGCAACGAGCTTCTAGAGCTTGTGAGGTACGTAGTCTCACACCTTTATGTTTTGTCGCGCCCGCCATTCCGTGGCCCCTCTGCCCACTTTGTGCCGAGGTATCGCTACTCGCGCCGCGGCGCTGCGTTGCGCTCTACTGGTGCAATGCTGCCCTTCGAGATCTCACGCCCACCTCTTGTCGACTTTCCTTTATCTGAATTAAAGCTAATCTTGCATTATACAGACATGTCACGCCCGCAAGGTACGAACAGTCTTATTTTCTACTTGAGTGTTTCTCTCGTGGGCGATTGAGCTTCCGAGTCGGCCGATTCCTACCCACAACCAATTTCCACCTACCCCCTCCTCCAATCGACACTTTTCGCCAAACCTCTTCGTCTAATATCTTTGTCTAGGTACGATGCGACGCCGCGAGCCTCGGCGTGCCCTGCACGAACTGCGTGGCCTTCCAAATAGAATGTCGCATTCCGACCCCTAAGCGCAAGAAGACTACGAATGCCGGAACGAACAAGGATTCGGACAGGTCTGCCTCAGCTTCGCCGTTTCCACATGCTCCCAGTCATGGGCTAACTGAGGTGTGCTCCAGCGAGAAAGGAGATAATGCTGAGGAGCGTTCGCCGAGAGCTCCCAGTGTTCCTGCGCCGGGACCTGGGACCTTCCCGCCGCGGACTCCTGCTGTCTATCACACCACAGATGGCACGCCGTCGTCCACCTATACCGAGTCGCAAGCCCGAAAGGAGGAAGTCGACAGTGGCACATATCTCAACCTGGTGATGAAACCAAAGTTCACGAGAGCCCCTATAACGGATGCTGGCAGGGTCGCGTATCTTGGAGAGTCGTCCAATCTGACCTTGCTTGTACACGATCGACAAGGCTCGTCAGACGTAGTCCACTATCCTCTACCCGAAAATGTGAGGGGCTCCAGGGCCCGACTGACCGAGCTGGATAATGTCGAAATCGATATCCTGCACCAGCGCGGTGCCTTCCTTCTACCGCCGAGATCTCTATGCGACGAGCTCATCGACTCCTACTTCAAATGGATCCATCCGATCGTTCCGGTCATCAACCGTACCCGCTTCATGCGACAGTACCGCGATCCCAAGAACCCACCGTCCCTTTTGTTACTGCAGGCTGTGCTGCTGGCCGGCTCAAGAGTCTGCACAAACCCACAGCTGATGGATGCCAATGGTTCGACCACGCCCGCTGCCCTGACCTTCTACAAAAGGGCAAAGGCGCTCTACGATGCCAACTACGAGGACGATCGGGTGACCATTGTGCAGTCACTATTGCTGATGGGGTGGTACTGGGAAGGACCTGAAGATGTCACCAAAAACGTGTTTTATTGGAGTCGAGTCGCCACCATCGTCGCTCAGGGTTCTGGAATGCATCGAAGTGTTGAGCAGTCACAACTCAGTCGCTCCGACAAGCGGCTGTGGAAACGAATTTGGTGGACTCTGTTCACACGAGACAGGTCTGTTGCCGTTGCTCTCGGCCGACCAGTCCACATCAACCTCGACGATTCCGACGTGGAGATGCTCACTGAGGATGACTTTATCGAGGATGATGGCGATCGTAACAGCGAGTACCCACCGGATCCCATACACGTGCAATTCTTCATGCAATACGTCAAGCTTTGCGAAATCATGGGCCTAGTGTTGTCACAGCAGTACTCGGTAGCCTCTAAAGGACGACAGAGAAACGCTATCGACTTGACCCATAGCGATATGGCTCTCGCGGATTGGCTCCAAAACTGCCCAAAGATCGTGTACTGGGAGGTTGCTCGACACCACTTTTGGTCAGCCCTGCTGCATTCGAATTACTACACGACACTTTGCCTCTTACATAGAGCTCACATGCCGCCCAATGGAGGCAGTCGTTTCCCTGATGATTCTCCATATCCCTCACGAAACATTGCGTTCCAAGCCGCGGCTATGATCACCTCGATCATCGAGAACTTAGCAGCTCATGGCGAACTTCGATTCTGTCCGGCATTTGTTGTGTACAGCTTGTTCTCGGCCTTGATCATGCACGTCTACCAAATGCGGTCGCCGGTCCCATCGATTCAGCAGGTAACACAGGACAGGTTACGAACATGCATGCAGGCCCTCAAGGAAGTGTCGCGAGTTTGGCTGGTAGGAAAGATGGTCTATACCTTATTTGAGTCCATCATAGGAAACAAAGTACTCGAGGAACGGCTGCAGAAGGCTGCGGGCAAGAGGCACAGAAAAGCGCAACAGGCGTTGGCACAGCTAGAGCAGCAACAGCGGCCGCAGGACGTTGCCAAGAGGAAGTACGACGACATGGCGATCGACTTCAGCGTCAATACTCCAACACCCCAAGAATCTTACGAAAGATCGCGCCCGCAGACCCCTAGTCATATGAAGGGTGACGGAGGTCCAAATCAGCAGACGATGCCGCCTCCAATCACATCACCCAATGTGAGGCAGAACGCAGACACGTTCATGGGCGGAACCTCCTCCAGGCCGCAGACCAGACCAGCGACGCCCTTTAACCCTTCATTCTCGGTACCAGCCACACCGCCAGACCTCTATCTTGTTACACGTAACTCGCCCAACATCTCTCAGTCCTTGTGGGAAAACTTCCAGCCCGACCAGCTTTTCCCAGACAGCGCAAGTATGCCAGCATTCCCGCACATGTCACCGCCACCGAATCACCATGGCATAGATACGGGCCTCATGGCGCAGCTGCAGAATCAAAACACGTCCCATGGTCTACCGGCACAAAATTCTCAGTTCCAAGCACGGGGCCCTACCAAACAAGGATTGAGTGGAAGCCCTCAACAAGGCACGAACGTCCTGGGGTCTGGCATGCAGGGTTTCCAGCAGCAGCAACCGCAGCAGCAGCAACAGGCACATGGGCAAGGGCAGAGCTCCAACAACAATAACAGCCTCAACAGCAACCTCTGGACAGCTAATTTCGACGGCTTGATGCCGGATGGACAAAGTCCAAGTGACAGCTGGAGTACAGGATCAGCTCAAGGGCAGCCTGTTCCAAACACGCTCAATGTTGAAGATTGGTAAGTGGACGCCATGACAGATCTTAACAAAACGCCGCAGAGAGCTAACATTATCGTGCTAAGGTTCCAATTCTTTGGCATTAACAATGGTGACCTGGCTAGCATGAATCTCGATTTGGGGTTGGGACCCCAATAGGGTGAATTAGTATGACGATTTTGCGCGTAGACCACCAGCCGTCTCCAATGTATTTGCAATCAAAGTTGACTTATGACTTGCACATGGCGGGAAGGTGCATAGCGGATGTATCGCCAAATGATACCATCTCGTCACGGGAGCTTCGTGTTTACTTAGTAGCATGTGTGGGAAAAGTCAGGACATTCCTGGGCGAGTGACCTAAGCAATCAATGCATACCGATTCTTTAATACAAGTCGAGGGTTCAAAGTTGAAAAAAGACACAAAAAATATGCCACGATGAGAATACATATTACGTTTGCGCATGGTTCTTAATGCGTGAATAAGAGAAAACGGGCTTTTACGTGATACGGCTAGCCACTTGACGAGCTTCAATCCTGGCGTCTACCCATCCGGTATGCCCAGCTCCGTTATACTAATGGCACAGAGAGTACCTTTTGAGGTTTGACTTATCCTAAATCAAGCATAAGAGGTTGGAACATGTGTTCACATAATCGCCCTGCATGTAGTACAAACAGGCAGGCATATAGGGACCACTTTGAGTTAATCCTATAGTGTGACCTCCAACCGTATAGAGCCGTTGAAGAGTACACTAAAAGTTGGTACTGAAATCAAGGACCAGAGCAATGTGAATGTGGTATTGGAAAAGCTGGCTGGGGAGCTTGAATGAATATTGTATAGCCAAAGACTGGGTGGTTTCTAGAAGCTGATAGAAAAATTGTATCTTTTCCCCTCTCTCCCACCTCCGCCTCGCTTCAGAAAGAACCATCCCGTCAACGAACCCCTTGATTGCCTGCCCGCCAACCAACCCCTGGGTTGACGACCCAATCTTCTACTGCTCCCAAAGTCTAATGTTTGAAATAAAAGGTTGTAAACAAAGATAAAGGGGGTGGTGGGGGTTAAACAAGCGGTGAACCTAAGAGGCTGAATGCCCAACCTGACCGGCACACTCACTTTACAGCACACCCCTCCTTCTGTCTGCCTGCCCTTCCCTCAATGCCCGCTAACGCCTATACAATGCGCAATCACTCCAACACGAGTCCCGACACCTTTACATATCGCCCCTGCACCCCATGGGTGTATCTTCTTTATGAACTTGGATCACGAGGTGTGTCCCCGCCGAGTCTTTGTTTGAAGAGCACCAATCTGTGGTCCCTAAGTCCAAGCTCTTCCTATTTCAACGAAATAGACAGACTTGTTTTGAGTAAGCTCAGTCCGACTTTTTGCCCTTTGCTGCTGCTTCAGTGTTGCTCAAACCGCGTCTCAAGACGGACCCCTCTCCATCACTCCTCCCACTAGAGCCAATCGTCATGGGCGCAGCGTCAAGCAAGCCTGTGCTGGTCACTCCGCCGCTGCTTGCTGGCATGGGCAGCCTTCCATCATCACTGTTTGTATCGGTCAACTCGATGAGGTCCAGATCATCTGGCTGACGGCTTCGGGATCCCAAGGTAGGCGTGCCCGGAGACTTTGCAAACGCGCCTCGAAGCCATGTCTCCACTGATGCTGCTGCGCGGTCTAAGCCAGAGCCTTGTCGGGATGTCGCCGACAGATCCTGTCCCTCATCAAAAGGACTTTCCACAATGCCGCTGCTGGAACCCGGTCGAAATCCAAAGTTTGCAGTCTCGGATCCCATGACGGAAATCGATGGCAGAGACTCGTCGATGGCAATTCCAGGGAGGTGCTTCTTCGCCCAAGAGTTCAGATAATCTTTCTCCGGGCCAGGTGCTCGTACACTTCGCCCTAAAGAGCCTACACCTCCGGGCCTCCTCATCCATGCTGGCCGGGTATCACCCGCATCGCTACCCATTCTGCTTCTTGATGATGCCGGAGTCGATCGCCCTGGAGTGCCGGGTAGGTTTGGCCGACTGCTCAAGTTGCTCTGGCGTCGCGATGATGGCCTACCGACTTGCTCAGGACTCTCTGTGAGTCCAGCTGTTATAGCCGCGGCATCGAGAGAGTGTCTCGGCGTCGATATGCTTGAGGTGCTTCGGAGGCTCTTCTTCCGTCGTGGAGGGAAGTACCCAATAGTTTTGCTCGACACGCGGGCGATCTCAACTGGTTTTGGAACAGAATCCAGTGTAACCCATCGAACGTGAGACCAAGGAGGCTCTTCCTGGTCTTCGTTGTTGGATAGTCGAGACGACGAGCCGTTTTGAGTAGGCAGACTGAAGAAGTCGACTTGTTGTGGTTGTGCCGAGGTCTGCTTACCCCATCCATGAGCGCTTCGAGGTTCCGGTGTTGGGGCGAGCAAGTCAACATTCTGCCCCTCATGCGAAGGCGGCTCGCAAGGGCGGCCTTTGACTTCGCATGCATCTACTGGAATGGCAAGCCACTTGCGCACCAGTATGTCTCTAGACCACAGACCGTTTGCCTTTCTGAATGCATCTTCGCGGCACCTGTACTTGAGCACTATGCCGGCATAGGTGTCAGTTGGTTGCACATGGTGAATATACACCAGTTGATCTTGGACCTCTTCTTCCTGTGGTGCGTCCCTGGCGATTTCGTCCGAGTTTCTCTTCTTATACTTGCCCGAGACATCAAGGCCTCCGTTAACTCCATCGTGGCTTTCCAAAACACTCGCTGTCCGGGCCGCCTTGAGAGCAGCATCTCTTTCTGCGAGAGAGCCCGCCGCAATATCTCTCTGCGCAGGCCTACTATTGGGGGGCGGCGCTGGACCCCAGTCTTTGGGGGCCTTTCGTGGCGGGGTAGAGTAGTCTCTTTTCAAAGGGTTGATGTTCGTCCGTCTCCCTTCCCTGTGATCTGACTCGTAGCCCGCATCGTGGACACTTCCGCCAGACAAGATGGACGAAGCAAGCCCTTGGATAGAAGCCCAGCCTTGCGACCATGTGGTATCAAGGAAACTAGCCGAGTTTGGTGCGGTGTTGTTTCGACGGGCGGCGGAGGATGCACTTCGACCACCGGACTTTGAGGCATCGCGGGATAAGTGGCTGGAAGGCATGGGGCTTGGCTCACGGCTTGGTGAACGCAAGGCAGAGAAGGAAGCCGACAGCTTATCCAAGGGTCCTCCGGCGTTGGAGGAATCCTCTACAGTGCTGATGAGGCGCCGGTTGCGTGGGCGGGCTTCGGCATCATGACGTGCTGGCATGAGGGCCGAAGAAGACATGTGTGATGTCGACCCAGCCGGGTTTAGGGAATCTGCCATGATGGAGCAAGGCCGCCCACCTCGTCGCTTGGGTGGTAGGCAGTTGAAAGGGAGGGCATCAGCGCGTGGCTTCGATCATCGACAGTATTTCGGTCGCTTGGAAGAACGGGAATAGGCGATCTAGGTCGGCAGCGCCGTGGGCGACTTCGGAGTAGGAAGCACAGAAGGTTGCAAGCGGTAGGGAGGTCGAAGGAGCGGGCGATAAAGTATGTGTTTCGGTCAAGGCGGATTAAGTTCACAGGGGATGACAAAGTGTCGCTCTCGCGTGTATCTCGAAGGGAAAGGCAGCTGAGGCCAAGGGAGGAGCGGGTGCAGTAGTCGTTGGTCGATTGAGGAATGAATGGATGGAAGTGATGTGTGAGGGCCGAATGGATGGACAATTGGAACCGTGGTGGTGTACCTTTTCTTTAGCGTATGCAGTAGTAGCAAGCATGGAAGCAAGCAGTGACAAGCAGCAGTGGACGGGAAGCGGTGGTAGGATGGCGACCGTGGGTGGTGGCAGCGGGAGCGAACCGTATGTACGTATGCGATACTGTGGACGGAATATGGGCACCTCTCCACTGGGTTAAGTGTCCTTCCATTGAGGTGCTGAGGCGGCGGGCTGCACTGGGGTCCGTCGAGGGATGTGGGCCGGAGTTTGTCAAGGGACTTGAAGGGACGAGACCCTTGGCCAGCCGCCAAAGACGACCTACGTAATCACGCACTCAGAACTCTCTGAAAGGTACCTTACCTCCGAACCTCGTGGCTCGGGGTACTTAGGTGATGTACGGAGTAGGCAAGGTACCTTGGGTACCGAGGACTGCTTGTGGCTCCCTGTCCTGTCCTTACTGAAATGATTAGCGGTCCTTCCAGTGGGGACGAACAGGTGGCATTCCTATAATCCCCCAATTCGCTTGAGGCCTGGGCTGTTTGAGAAGTCCCAAGTTAGCAGCCTACGGACATGAAACCCCAGCGGTGGTGGGGGCAGATAATGGGGAAAGGGACATGACTGTCAGTCCTAATTACTGGAGAGGCCTGGGACTCCCGGGAGAGTCTTCATGTTCGTGGCTCGCCCACCCAGCACCTGCAGTAATCGTTTTGTCCCTCCTGGAGTCTTGCGGCCTGCCCCTCCGCCGGCTGGGGACATGAACCGTGCACGGTACTTTCACTCCTCCGACTCGACGTTCCGCCCGGCTCCCAGCGGCCCCACTCGAGCACTTTGTGCAAGCTCGCGGTCGCGACAGGTACCTCTTTTTTTCCCCATACTGCAGAACTCCAAAGTACGAAGCTGGACTGGAACCCAAGAATCTGGCGCAGCGCAGAGAGCTCCTGTGTAGACGGCCACGACCATGCATGCTACGCGTTGCAATCGCCAATATCATTAGTCGCATACCGTCGAACAAGTTTCAGTAGCGAGCAACAGACGATACAGCAGCTACCCATGCCGAACGATCCATCCCTTTGCGACGTCTTTCGACCCTGACCACCCGCCAGCTTGCGATGCCGATTTGTATCGAGTGCCGCCATCCGGTCAAGACACTATGGACCAAATACTCCAACGCTGACGACAAGTCGAGCGGTCACAATATCCGTCTGACCGTTTGCAGAAATTGCGGCCATTTTTGCGACAAATACGTCGAGCACGATTTCGTCGTGCTGTTCATCGATCTCGTCCTCATTAAACCCCAGGTCTATCGTCACCTGTTGCACAATACCTTAATGAAGGATGACGACCGTTTTGATGTAAGTCATGGGGGGAATTTGCGCCCTGTATCTATCTACAAGATCCTCGCTGACGATGTTTCTACCGCAGTCATCTATTGTACGACTCGGCATCCTGTTGCTACTATTCGACGTCTACTTGACATGGGCGCGCATTGAGAAGCAGACGGTGCCCATCTCTGCTCGGGGCGAGGGCGCAAATCTGGGCAGCTTGGCACAGCAGTCTATCGTGTCCCAGTATTTCTTCTTCCGTACGTATTATGAGGCATGTCAAGGGCTGCTTCAGAAGGAAAAACTAACGCTCCGGCAGTCATCCTTTGCGCTTTGTCGACATTTGCCTTCCATATGAGCATTCGCTTCCTGACTTCGTCCAAGTTCTCTCCGCTGAACTTCTTCAACATCTTGCCCCGATATTCGCGTCCAAACTCCGTCTCGACCGCACTCCTCGTCTCGTCTTCGACCAAGCTATTCCCGATCCTCATGGTCATATGGCAGTACGATGTCCCAGCTGCGGCTCGGTCGCTGGGCTGGGCCGTCGTAGCAAACAACGTCGAGGCCCTTCGTATTCTGCTGGACTGCGGCTACGGGGTTGCTACTTTACTCGCCACGCTGGGAGCTCTAGCCCGGTGGACAGTGGGACGCAGTGTTCTCTGGGCTGCTGGGCTAGATGGAGTCGATTCCATCGGAGAGACGAGCATTGCTGCAGATGGCAAAGCCCTCTGGGCTCTGTTGATGTACGTGAGGGAGTGGGCAAGTGATCTAGCCGCAGGATAACAGGCAGTGTATAGCTGTAGAAGCCAGGCAGAAGAGTTGCATGTGTAATATGTACCAGCTGGCAGTGCGTGAATCGATGCTGCATAACTAGCCGTCTTGCCATCTCAGGTGCCTACCCAGTCCATCCGTAATCCTCATCGCCACCGGACTAGTATCATCTGTCGGCATCTTGAGCTACAGATGCGAGGCGGCACTCTTCAACAGCCAGTCACGCGCCGTTCGTTCTATATGACAGAACCCTAACAAGCCCCTTAACGCCGTCCTTATGAAGTTGCAGTTGTGTAAAATCGATAATAGTACATCGCACCCATGGCGTTGCATCTCGCTCTCTTTCGCCCTTCCATCATCACCTCGAATAACAGGTCGTTAATGGTGCACGGCGCTCTCTCGGAGGTTGCTGCGTTTGGGTTCGATCAAGGGGTGGAGCTGGGCGAGGAACGTGATGGCCCACATGAGGTAGCAGCATGCGAGGGCAAGGAGGAGGGAGGATCTCCAGATGCTATAGATGATGGTCAGCTGTGTGTCTCTGTCGCAATGACGCAAGCAATAGTAGTTCTCCGATTGCGGCATTTTGCTTCAAGTGGAGGGAAAACATACATCTGGGTGTCGCCCTTGGGAGACAAGAACCATGCGCCAGCGCCCATCGCGACGACGATGACGAGGCCGACGAAGATGCTGTACCTATTGTTCTCTCATGTCAACACACATCGATCGCCGGAGTACGCTCGTCTATGGGAGGGGGAACACACCCTTGCGCCATTTTTGCTGCTCGATTCGGAAGAGGGTGTGGTTTTGGGGGATGTGCAGGTATGTCGGGTTTCGCGTTGATGTCGTCGTGCTGCTGCGTCGATTGCTTCTGTCGTCGTTGGGAAGGCTGAGCTAGGTAGGAGGTTCTGGACGTCAGTTGTGGGTGCAGCTGTCGGTGCAGTGCACCAGCCGGCAGCTCGACCGTTGCTGGTGATTAGTCATTCCTGTCTCTCCACCCTTCCAGCCTACCTATGAATCTGTCATAGGCAAGGCAAGAGCTAAGTATTTTGTAAGTCCATTTTCAAGTCACTAATACTAAATCCTATAACTCGAGGTTCGAGTAACATATGCCTTCGATTTCACGTCATGCAACTAAATAAGAATCAGTCTTCTGGTATGATTTTTTCCCTTTTAATTTCGTTTATGTTGCGCATAAGTCTTTGAGCCGATGCCTTTTGAGCCATAGCATTAGGAGCCCTTGCTCAAGAGTCATTCTCGTACTTGAGGCCAGCTTCCTTTCTTACGGCGCCATAGATGCCGGCCATATCGCCTGACGGTCCTACATGCTCCTTAACAATTTGTAGGTGCCTATCGGCATTTTCGATGTTTGGCAGTCGTGTCCCTGCGGCTTTGGCAATAGCCATGGCGTGCCCGGCGTCTTTCCTCGCCAAGTCAACGGCGAAGAGCGGTTCCTCCCTCTTGTAATAGTCACCCTCCAACATACGCACCGAGTACGCAGGGTAAGGACTGCCACCGAACATGGCATCGACAAACTGCTTCACGTAACCGGTCCCGAGCCCGCTCTTCTCGGCAGCCACATATGTCTCGGCGAGCTGCTCAACCATGCCCAGGATGACGGTGTTACCCAGTACCTTCAGCGTAGACGCCTTGTGATACGGCTCATCAGCCATGTTGATCTCGCGAGCCGCCATGGCATCGATATAAGGCCGGATCTTCTCGATCGAGGCCTTGGGTCCGGCAAGCACCAAGGTCGCGTTGCCAGCCGCTACCATGGCAGGTGCTCCGAACACGGGTGCGCAAATGAACTCGGCACCCTTATCCAGTACCGCCTTCGCGGCCGCTTCTGAAGCGCCGGGAGCAATGGTTGAGCACTCGACAAAGACTTTGCCCTCGAGTTTCTGCTGGGCTGCGGTCGCGAATATTTCCTCCACTGCCTGGTCGTTGGCAACGCACGTGAAGATGATGTCGGCCTGCGCGATGGCGTCCCCGAGCGACTCGACGACCTGCGTCTTACCGGCGGGCAGGCTCTGGCTCAGGTCCGTGGCTCTCTTTGTGGTGCGGTTGTAGATGAGGAGTGGTTTGTCAAGTTTGGACTTTTCCGCAATGTTTTTACACATACCCTGAGCAGGTCAGCTCGCATATCGCAATCGGGACGGGGTGTGGCGACTCAAAACTCCGGGGACGACTCACCCTGCCGATGTTGCCGAGGCCGATCCAAAGAAGAGTCTGAGCCATTGTGAAGTATAGTGTTTTGAAGATGATTGTGGCTGACAAGGATGTCTAGTAGTAGATGAGTTTGGGGCAGAACTGTGCAAGTTAGAATACAGCGGAATACAAAACGTTAAGAGAGAAGTGCGTCAATAGTGAGAATGAAACCTATGAGAAGTTCTATGAAGTTGGTGACATATAAGCGGCGGCATTAACATGCCGGAAAGCCCCTCAGGGTCTTGGTCAGTTGAGTTTGAAGAGCGAGGTGACGACAACGGCTTTGCCCGAGCGGGGTTGCTTCGGTTCATCATAGAGACCACAGCGGCACTTTCATCGGTAACTTGGGACAAACAATGGGAGGGGCTAAGAAATTGACTAGTATAGTGAATAGATAGGAGCACCTCGAGGTTAATGGAACAGTATTATATCAGTAACTGGAGTAAGGCAAAGCAATTTGTCAAGGAAGGCACCTAGTGTCAACGGCGCAATTGAGAACGTGTGATCAACCAACGGGCTTATAACTTTGCTCCACTGCATAAAAAGTAGGTACGCTTTACAACTCATCCAGGATTACTTTTCCACGCCAACGAAGCCCAGATGTCGGGAGCGAACCTGATACGGACTTGAGCAAGGCAGTCCGGCTGATTAGTGTGTATCTACGGCTGTTCCCGTCCTCGTAGCTGTGCCTTGGGGTGCCAAGCAGTGAGATTCTTATTAGTAGATTAACTACAGGTAGTTGTGTTGGTTGACGGCCGTTGGTGTAAGTCGTGCGAAGGTGCCGCTCATGAAGTTTTTGCCCCTCGTCACATGCTGAGCCATTTTTTCAACATGCAAGCAATTGAATCGGGAGTGCACGGTAAGAGAGATGAACCGCGCCAATTGTTGAGGTTTTTTTTTTCGATTGGCGATTTGTCTTCCTTTACCTCGTCTGCTTGTCCGACAGCTCGCCTCGGTGCTACGGTAATACTTGACGGTCGCCGATGGCGGTCCCCATGATGGAGACCTATCTGTTCTTATCGTCTTATCAGTACGCCCTTTGGTAGGTCACCTTGACTCACAAAGTGGGAATTTCTCGGTCGGGGGGACAGGGCGGGTTGCAGTTCGTGCTCTCCCGGCCACAGCCAAGGTCCCTTTCCCTTCGTCACCGACTCTTAAAGTCTGCCCGACTTTGTTTCTGCAACTCCATTCAAACAGGCGCGATTCAGTGCTCAGACAGATCCTAAGGACGGCGTGGCAGTCATTTGCATGGCTGTCTGAAGGGATGGACCTGCTTTGACCCTCCCCTCGCTCACGACGCTGCTATTACGCTGCCTCTAATCGGCTGGTCACTCGGTCACAGACTCTAGCTTCTTTTATTTCCTTCGCTTGCCTCAGTGTTATATCTGCTCTTGCATATACTCTGTAAGAAAGGAACAACAGGATTGTGTCCACCCGGACTTATTTTCAGATACCAGACCGCCTCGCCTTCTACTTGGCCATCATATTGCCGCTGTAGGCCAACGAAGCACATCCACGGCATGCTCTACATCTCTCGCCGTTATCGGTAAGATGCGGTCTCCAGCGTTGAAGCAAGCAAGCAACCTGGTTGCAAGGGTATGCGTCCCAACTCTTGATTCCAACACGTCTCCAAGTCGTTATGCCCAGGCCTGACAAACTTCACATTAGGCACCATTCGCTCTCGACTCTTGCAGCCCGCCCAATTGCAGACTTTACCACCGCCCGCGGTTAGGTGGCACGCGCCAAGAAGAGGCCTTGCAGAGTGCTCTTTCAGCAGTCCGCCATTCATCCAGCAATCAGGCCCGTGAGAGGCAACGAGCAGAAGACAGAGTACTTAATGAAACCCCGCTTCGTTTCTTCTTTCAATCTCTGACAAGAACTGCAGGACTTTATTGTATCTGTCTTAGAGGCCTCGGCCACTCGTCGTGATGCTAAAGGCTACCTTCAAAAATATGCCCCTCAGTCCGGCGAGGATGGCTCCAAGAAGCGCAAAGTTTCCAAGTCACAAGAGGGACCTGACCAAACTTATTCGTCCGTTCGAGTCATCAATCAGGCGCCAAAGTTCATTCAAGGCACTGAGTTCAAGGCCGAAACCGCCATTCCAGAGGGCGAACCCATCAACTTGGCGATTGTCAAGATACGCCTTCCACAGGATGTTGACGATGAGATGCTGAGTGCTATCGCCAAAACCCTGACCCAACTTAGGAAACTAGGACTCGTCAGTCTCATTGTCCTCGACGGAGGACAAGTATCGTCCCGAAAGCTTCTTCGGGAGCAATCCTGGAGAGTCCAGCAAGCCATTGAGACATTTGGCGAGCCAGGTAGCATTCTGCTCGACCAGTGCATTGCCGAAGCTGAGTCGCAGACGGCACAAACAAAGGGGTTCATGCCGTCGGGCGTTTATATCCAGCACCCGCACCTTCTGCTGCGAGCTCTGCGAGACAATGCGATTGTTGTTGTACCCCCAGTCACTATGGCACACAACATGAAGAGCATCGACGTGGTGGACGCTGACGAAACCATCATTGCACTCACCAAATTTTTCTGTGGTCTTCAATTCAACGCCTCTGAAAGCCCCGTTGGAGCACCTGACTCCAGTCTCAGTCCTGGAGCCAAGGTTGCCTCAGTCGAAAAGGTCATCATCCTCGACCCAGCTGGAGGCACACCTTTGTCGGATGCACATGATGATTCGTGTCATCGATATATCAACTTGGACCAGGAATTCGAGGGCATCATGTATGGCCTCACACACCCTACAGGATCAGAAGCACGGCGAGGTAAATATCCCGAGAATGTGCGGCAGCTCCACGCTCGAAATCTCGACCTTTCAAAGAAGGTGCTTGCGATGTTGCCCTCGACTTCTTCTGCCATAATCAGCACCCCATCGGCTGCAGCAAACAAGCCGATCCAGCAATTTACAAGCGTCACAACACGTAACCGGCAAAATCCTTTGATTCACAACCTGCTAACGGATAAGCCCGTATTTTCGTCATCACTACCGCTCGACCGGGTCCGCTCCGGGAAGAAAGGTGACATGGCGTCCGGCGAGACCCATGTGGCAACTTTGGTCAAGCGCGGCATGCCACTTACAGTCTATCCCGATCCTACAATCAGTGCCTGGGTGCCACCACGGCCTGGCGGCCCGCGCCTGAGGCTCACAGACACCTGTATAGACATGCCACGACTGGTCAATCTCATTAATGACTCCTTTAATCGGGAATTGGACGTTGAGCACTACTTAGAGCGTGTCAACGAGAACCTGGCCGGTATCATCATTGCAGGCGAGTACGAGGGTGGAGCAATCCTGACTTGGGAGAAGCCTTTCGATCTAGATGAAGAGACTGCGTACAAGACCGGTCGACTGGTTCCGTACTTGGATAAGTTTGCAGTTCTCAAGAGCCGCCAGGGAAGTGGTGGAGTTGCAGATGTGGTTTTCAACGCAATGGTCAGAGGCTGCTTTCCAGAAGGCGTCTGCTGGCGTAGCCGACAGGACAACCCCGTCAATAAGTGGTATTTTGAGAGATCTTTGGGCACATGGAAACTCAAGGACACCAACTGGACCATGTTCTGGACAACGCCACACCTCCCACTGAGCGACCCGAAGCTGTTGGATTACGAGAACGTTTGTCGTTACATTGAACCATCATGGGCAGACACAAAGCCGCCTGACTAAGACCTCTAGGAGTGGCTTTGAAGAGCAGCCCCCTATGGCAGTATTCCATTGATTGGGAGGTGGGGGCCAGAGGAAGCTAAATGCATCAAAAGGAAATCAAAAAGCGAGATCAACGTTGAATCTATGCGTGTCACACATGAATAGTCTTAGCCGAGCCATTGTAAATGTCTACCTATCCGTTGACGCCACTAGCTTCTCCGTGGGACTTAGTTGAAGGAGTGTCACCTAGTAAGGTACCTATTCTTTGAAAGTGCGATGGAGAAGAGACACATATGAATAAATCCTGAAGTTTCCACCTGGGACCCCAAACCCAGCTAGAATCTGCATGACGAACTGCTCCTCGGTATCTTTGAGTAAGGTAAGGGAGGGATGCATCCAACAGCTGCGAGGAAACAGTGCCATCCAAAGATGTGTTGGAGCCAGTACGTACCGGGACGTGTTCCATAAATCACGTGCGCTAAGGTAGTGTGCACCCATTCCCTGCTTGACTGATCCACCTGGCCAGCTGCCCCTGGGTAGCTTGTGACAGCATGCTGGAGGTTGCTGTGCAGCCAATTTAACATACTGGATACCTGTCTATCTTGCTTCAGGTCGCAGGCAGGCACGAGGCAGAACTCCCGCATCTACAACCCACCTCAACCCGTCCAACAAGCATTATCGTCAGTGCCGACTTTCCCGCAGCAACCGAGTTGCTTTCTTTTCCCACCCTACTTTGTCCTATCAAACCACCGCCAAGATGGATTTCAAGAATCTCGGCAAGAACTTCACGTGCGTTGTCGCATGCCCTTCATGTCAGCGGTCGCGAGTGCTGTATCCAGGCTGACGAATTCCCAACAATGCAGCTCCTTTGGGGCCTCGATCACCCCTTTCGCTTCCCGTACTTTCCAGTACACCAAGGAGCAGCTTGGCCAGGCCGAGGACAAGGTACTTTGATTTCCTTGCGCCGACCTGAGCAGTTATTCAATCAAGCAAGAGCTAATCTTCTCGTCCTCCATAGACCCAGCTTCCTCCCGACTACATTGATCTCGAGAAGCGCGTCGATGCACTCAAGCAGGTCCATCAGAAGATGCTGGCTGTGACGTGAGTTCTCGATGGAGAGGCCCCATGAGTCGAAGATCGACCACTAACACCAATGACCCGAAGCTCGCAATACTCGAACGAGGCCTACGACTACCCGCCCAACATCAAGGAGACCTTCCAAGACCTCGGCCGTACCGTTAGCGAGAAGGTTACTCTTCTTTCGTCCGCTGGTTCCCCGGCCGAGGCCCAGGCAGCCCTGACCGCCCCCCCTTCGGCAAAGCCCCAGCCCAAGACCTTCAACCATGCCATTGCCCGGGCCAGTCTGTCCAGCAGCCAGGTCCTTCACCAGCAGCACACCGGTACGGGCGAGGATCCCTTGGCTACGGCGCTTGAGAAGTATGCCTTGGCTATGGAGCGCGTTGGCGAGTCCCGCATGGCCCAGGACGCTCAGATCCAGAGCCGCTTCCTTGCCGGCTGGAACACCACCTTGAACACCAACCTCAAGTTCGCTACCCGCGCCCGCCAAAACGTCGAGAAATCCCGCTTGACTCTCGATGCCGCCAAGGCTCGCGCCCACGGGACCACCTGGAAGATGGGCCCCGGTGCCACTCGTCCCGATGATGGTCAGCCGCAGGAGCTGAGCCCTGAGGCCCAGGAGGAGATCGAGAAGGCCGAGGACGACTTTGTCACGCAGACTGAAGAGGCCGTTGGTGTCATGAAGAATGTCCGTACACCTGAACTTTTTGTCTGCACGAAATCGGTGATTGCTAACTCTTTACAGGTTCTTGATACCCCTGAGCCCCTTCGCAACCTTGCCGACCTGATTGCTGCTCAGATCGAGTACCACAAGAAGGCATACGAGATCCTGAGCGAGCTCGCCCCGGTTGTCGATGGCCTGCAGGTTGAGCAGGAGGTTAGTCGCGCCTCGAACTACGAAGTATAACGAAGACCGATCCGTGCTGACGCCCTTTCGCTGCAGGCCAGCTACCGCAAGAGCCGTGAGAACGCCTCTTAAGCGGTTGGAAGTGAGCGCCTATTTTCTTGATCGCCGCCGCCTTTGCAGTACTAGCAGCTTCATCATACCTAGATTTTGGTTGATGTCTAGCGAGCTATCAGCATTCCGCGGATTGATGTACTTGAGAGTTGGAGGAAGCCCGATTGCTTTTATTGCAGCCGGTATGGCTAGGGCCGCGTTTGTTACGCACCATGCATCGTTGAAAGACGGCTTGTTTCCACTTCAGCCATGTGTGGCTTTAGGGACTACTTCGATTCATTATCGACGCCTTAAACCCTCATGGTAGGGTGTGAGAGCGTCCTGATCGCGTCGTTCAAGGTTGATTTGACGACTTCTGAATATATAGTTGTTTTCACGTCTGACGAGTTCCGTACGACTACCAGCAACTGTGACTGGCAGTACGGCTTGGTACTGAATTCCAAATAGCTTGTCCATTTTCTCAATTCAGTGCCAGCCTGCATGCCTACCTATCCATATGTTCATGTGGAAAAGTCTCTCATTAGTCGTGATACCAGTACCTAGTGAGTGCATTGTCAGTGGGGCATTTTGCCAATGACAATGTTGGACTTCCAAAGTGCCGTCGACTGCTTCACTAAGAATCACAAGTAAAACATGGAATGCAACCGAGGTCTCCGAGCTTGTCAAATGCGTGCATTGTATTATAATAAATGCTACGAGAAAGAGACGCAGATTTGCGCCTCCGAAAGTGTCTGAATGACAGAGTAGAGTCACGTGATCTGGGAGTGCTGACTTATGTAAGGAAATCTACTGGTCAATGAAATCCAAGCGACACTGCATCCCCCAGTACTGCTGTCGACCTTGCGCTCCATAGCTCAATTCACCGAACACCCGCGATCTCCAATTCGAGCCAATTGATATCGCAATCATGCGGAGAACACTTCGCCTGCTCGCGGGCGTCAAGCCTGCTCGTTATCTCGAAGCCGGCACCCCGACAGGTCTCACCGGCCTCTGGACGCACAACAGCCCGCGGTCGACACTGCTCTACCTGTACGGTACCACCCTCGAGAAGCTCCAGACGGTCCCCGAGTCCTCCCTCTACCGCCAATCGGTCGAAGCCATCACGAAGCACCGCCTCAGCCTCGTCGAAGCGACGGTACCGCCCGGATACCCCGAGTGGGAGAAGAGGGCCGAGCAGATTGTCAAGGAGAAGCCCGAACAGTTCCGCCTCGTTAGCGGCCGCGTCGACGGCAGCGGCGCGCGGACGGTGAAGCTCGGCGGCAGGACGTTTGTCGTCGCGACCCAGCACGAGGAGCAGGACGTCCGCTACGAGGAGTGGGACGGCGAGAAGGATGAGGGCGGTACCCTGGAGGGCCCCCGTAGCGAGGCCGAGCGAAAGGACCACCAGCTTCTCGCCGACCGCAAGGACCTGAACGACATCGCCAAGGTGCAGTGGGAGGCGGAGCCGCAATTGACAGCCGACCAGTACGTTTTTTATTTTCCCGGAGCAGGACCATCACATTGAGACGGGGTTTGCTGGCAACGGGGAAGGGGGCTTATACTGACCTGTTCTAGGATTTCCGAGTTGGAGACCAAGATCGGAGCTGGCCTCATTGAGGAGGTCATTCAGGTTGCCGAGGGCGAGCTGAAGCTCGTGGATGTGATGACGCAGGCCAAGGTGTACGTTCTTTCCTCTCTCAGCCCTTTTCTCCCGACCTTGCTAACAGCCAATAACCAGATGGGAGGACCTTGAGGAGAAGCCTGTTGAGGGCCAGTGGACTTACTTTGAGCGCAAGTCTGCGTAAGCGGATGCTTCGTACTGCTGAAGACACTTGCGAATTCTAGATAATGTACATTAGGCGACTGTGATGACCAAAGATACATCGAGATGTTGCTTTTTCCCCTTCCTATGGCTTGCTACGCACATCAAGGCAGTGATCGTGAAAGTGCTTTTCCCCCTACGTTCTATAATGGACTATGGGGTTCAGCCCAAAGACATCATAACAATACGACCGTTGTTGGTTGTTGAGTGTTGTTGGTTGTTGAGTCTCGAGACGGGCACAATGGGCTGGTTGAAGCTTTGCTCGCCTTGCCCCATAATTAGGTAAAGATTGGAGTGTGCAGTGCCTCGAATCAGGACAAGTTTCGATCATTCTTGGGGGTGTTAGTTTTACGGGACTATCGTGGTAATAGCTGTGAAAAGGAACTGAATAGCTTGTTAGAATGGGTTAAGGTACGCTCACTCCAGGGCGACACTTCATAGACCGATTTTGGGTAAAGAGCAGAAAGATCAAGAACAAGGCGGCCCTGAAAACCTAACCAAGATACCTAGCCATAGACCGGTACTTGAACCAGATTTCAACGAAAATGCAGCCATGAACACTGTCTCTTAACGATTGAGAGCAACTTGTTGAAGCTTCCGCGTCCATCCCTCGATACTTGATACCCTTGTGGTAGACACAGTGTAAATGAAGCATGCGGCCCCGCTTCACTCTTGACCGAATTCTCAACACACACTCACCTTACTTACACCATTACCTCAACCTCACTTAAGCCTACCAAGCAGATGAAACATCAATAGCAATACCGACATTTTAATTAAGCATTCGATACCAATACGTTTGATCGTGTCATCAAAACTTCATCACATAAACCCGCGCACGGGGCGGAAGCGACCATGAGCCAGCCAGCCACCGGCCGCAAGAGGTCCGCCTCAGCCATGTCGATGAGCGACAGCAACGAGTACCGATACCAGTCTCAGCTCCCCAGCGACTCCATCAACCCGCTCAGCCATACGCCTTCCATCCTCCGTCAGCTCCATCTCGCCGGTCTCGCCGAGACGGACGAGCTGCCCTCAAGGACGCAGCACAGATTTCCGCACCGCAACTGGCAAGACCGCGATGCGCCAGCTCGGCCAGGACCGTCCGCCTCCTCGGCGTCTCTGTCAAAGGCGCTCGAGACTAGCGAGGTAGAAGAGGAGGATGAAGAGGATCTAGACGAAGAAGAAGACGACAAGAAGCGCCACCGCAAGAAGAAAGACGGTACCCCCAAACCAAAATACGCCTCTGAAAAATCTCCCCTCAGGCCCCTCGTCCGCGCAATCTACGGCTTCCTCGACGCCGGCGACATCGCCAACGCAAAACGCGCCTTTGGCATCCTCGCGCGGTCCACGGCCCACGGCAGACCCGTCGACGTGCGGCGCAACAACTACTGGGCCCTCGGCGCCGAGATCCTCATGCGCGAGGGCGGCAGCGCGCGCGCCACGGCGACGGACGACGAGGCGTACCCGTTCGCCAACGCCCCGCGCGTGCGCGAGTACTTTCGGGACCTGATCCAGCGGTTCCCTTACAACTACAAGCACCGCCACGCCGTGTGCGCCGTCGACTTTTGGCCTGCGCTGTTGAGTTATGAGGTCTTTCAGGTGCATGCGCAGCATGCGGCTTCGTTGAGGCGGGTGAATCGCGAGGCGGAGGACTGGGAGGATGAGTCCTGGCAGGAGCCTTCTTCACTCCTCGACGGTGGCGGCGGCGGGGGTGACAGCATGATGGAGGGATCCGGCTTCCGGTCTGAGCAGGTCAACGGGCGGGACACGCGTCTTCGGCAGGCGAGGGACCAGATCCGGCTCAAGACGCTCGACATGCTGCGCGAGATGGCGGGCCGCATGAACGACCTGCTGGAGGACCGGCCCTTCTCGCACAGCGCCGAGCTGTGGCGGGTGCGTGGGATGGTGTCGCTGTACATTGGCGACCTGCTCATCCCGGCATACACGCACGACGAAGGGGGCGGCCAGATGGCGGAGGCCAGGGCGCGGCGGGAGGTGGAGAGGAATAACGCGCGGAGCAGCTTTCACAAGATGGCGGAGCACGGCGGGAAACTTGATGCTTTGATTCAGAAGCTGATGGCGCCCGTTGAGGAGGACGAGGGGCCTGTGTTGCCCGTCTTTTCGTCACTTCCCTTCAGAGAGTATCGTACAGCTAGCTAGAAGCGATGGCCGATATTGTTCTGACGCGGAAACTAAGCTACCTAGTCGAGAGCATCAAAAAGATTGGTACGAGCCGAGGCACCATCCTCTCTACCCGGCATTACCCTCCACCGCCAATCCTTCCTACCGATTAAGTCACGCATCCTTCTTGGGCACCCATCTCTGGAAAACCAGAGCAAAGTTGGAGCTACCCACAACGACGCACCATTCACCTCCGGGGCTCCAGGCAACCTGTCTACCAACGAATGTCGAAGCGCCGCAGTTCTCAATCTTGTGGGGCTTCAGTGGCACCTGAGGGTTGCCGACGGTGAACTTGCCATCCCACGTCTGCAGCGTTTCCTGGTTGTACTGGGCCCTCAGCTCGGGAATCTGCTCAAGCTCTGTCCGGTGAGCCTTGTCGGCCGCCTTCTTCTCTCGGACCGTCGGCGCGGCCTTGCCGTTCGTGTTAGCCCGATGGGTGATGGCCGGCAGCCAGCTGGGCTTCGTCACGGCCTCCTCCCCGTCTCTCTTGGGTCTCTTGACGGCATTGACATAGTCGTGAAAGCCTGTAATCTGCTCAAAGTCCCAAAAGTAGATTTTGCCGTTGGCGTTGCAGAAGGCTAGGATGGGGTGCTGGTCGGGAACGAAGTGCAGCTTGAATCGCATAAAGAACTGCGGGCCGCAACCGAGCGTCTGGAACTCGATGAGCCGCGTGTAGGGAGCTGGACATTCTGCCGAAACGCCCGGGCTGAAGGCAGAGCGGGTGAGATTGGCCGGGTTGATGGTTGTCGGGGCCATGGACTGCGGAGGGGGCGGGTCCTGGGAGGAGAAGCCTTCAATCTTCCACAAGACGATCACATCGTCGTGGCAGGCTCGCGAGAGAATGTAGTCACCATAGAAGGATACACTTTGAGACATCAGTGGTGTATAATAAGCTGCTTTCCAGGCAAAGACTTACCAATCCACGAGACTGCTGTGAACCTCTGATGTTGAGAAGTGAGGATAGTGAACCTCCACTGGGCGGTCGGTGTGTTCAGTGGGAAGATCTGGTACTGTCCACTGTTTGGTCTGTTAACTATAGAACTTGGGAGTGGCAAATGGGATTATTGCCTACGAGGTTGATAATCTGATCATGACCGGCGGAGAGAATATAGCGGCCCGTGTCGTGCCATGCCTAGATGAAGAGTCAGCCTCAGAGTTGCGACCAGGAAACAGCAATAGAGCTACACGTACTAATGTTAGCAGGTTCCAGTAATGACCTTCGCCTCCAAGAATGCACAAGCAGGGCTGTTTTTCATGTTTGGGATCTAGACTCCATATCCTGACTGTCGTATCGTCGGAACACGAGGCGATGATCAGAGGGTCTATCGGAGACGTGACCACGTCACAAACGTCCTGAAGGTTCATCAGTAGGAGCCCCCAATATGTGATATTATCAAGGCATGACTCACTCCGCCGTGGCCTACGAGACACTAAGTGAGATATGAGCAAAACGTCTACAGGATACGTTGGATGTATCTCGACTCACGTTGACGAGCTTCTGCTCGATTATGTCGTAAACCTTGATCTTGGCGTCTTCTCCGCCGTAACACAATAGCGGCCTGCCGGTCTCCGCGTCTCTTGTCCAAGTGCAGGAGTAATTTCTTGCCTCGGTCTTTATTCGAGTCAGTTGCCGAGGCTGCTGTGGGTAATTTGGCTACCAGGGAGAACGCACATCATCATCCCGAATTATGCTGATAATTTCGCATGGATTGGAGTCATCGGCAGCTGCCGTGAGGCGGCAGACTATTATCTGAAGAGGAGGTTAGAGCCCAAAGAGCACTCCCAAGACAACTACCAAGATGCTGCAACCTACATGCTTCTTACTGACGGCGGCGAAGACGGGTCTCGCATCCAATGGCTGATAAGGGCAGAATTTGACATCAAAGAACTCTGAGGCGAGATTAGCCACGGTTGAAAGCAGTGTCTCGAGTCCACATTGGGGCGGCGGGGCTTACCAGGCACCGGATCATCTTGAGCGAGGAACCTGGTGTCATCCTATAGCTCATGTCAGCGGAAAGTCTATTGGACGGCAAAGAGCCAGGGAAAGAACATGGCATTCTCAATGTAGATTTTGCAGCTGGATAACTCTGATGGTAATCCATGGATACGCAGAAAGTAGGGAACAAGTAAGAATAGACTAAAAGCAATAAGGGGTCCTCGACCCCAGTTCGGCTAGTTCAAAGAAAGGGGGAGCAAGTACCTCGAGATGAACCGAGACTCTCAGTCTCGGAAAGTCATATGGAGTTGGTGTTGAGGTGGGGGCCATGACAAAATTGAATGTCAATAGAGGTCGGGATCGGAGGACGCGTTGAAGGCAACCCCGGCCTGAGATTTAGAGATGGCCAACCAACTCGTTTACACGGCAACTTCTTACGGGTAGTCTCGTCGGTAAAAGTGCAACTGCGGGCGGGGGCCTGAGACACGGAGGAAGGCAAGACGCGTCGAGATGCAGTTGATAACTTGAGATCAGCTTTGTGTGTGTGTATTGGCGTATGCTTTGTGCAAGGATTTGTGTTAGTGTAGCTGCTCCTAATCTCTAGTTGGACTGAAAACGGTGCGGGTACACTAGGTAAGTAAGGTAGGATAAGGTAAGCAGAGAGATTCGAGAAAGAGGAAGGCAACGCTACTATGCAATGGAAGTGGCAGTTGGCAACAGTAAGAAGTCGGTAAGAATACTCCGTGCCTAGCGCGTAAACTCAAGGAACCTAGTAATGGGGCAATGCAGAGCAAGGTAAGGTACCTCACCTGGCAGGTAAATTGTGAAGGAAGGAGACGGAGCCCGGCAGGTGGGGCTTGCGTTTTCTCACTTGTTCCCGCCGAATGTGGACGTGAAAAGAGGAAACTTTGAAAATAGAACACGCAGTCGGTCGCGCACTCAGGTCGTCAATAGGAACTTTCCGCTTTAGTGGGCCGTGGTTGACGGAACGGTGAACCTCAAGGAGTCAAGGCCGGGCCGGGGCCACTGCA